CCATCATAATGTAAGAAATGCAACCTGTGTTTTGCTGAAGAACAGGCAGGATGCAGAGGAAAAGTATGCAGCTGCCATGTACATGGGAGATGTTGCTGGTCTGGGCTAATGTTGTAGCAGAGGGGCAGAAAAGGGGGAGGAAGTGGATATTTACAAAGGAATAGTACTTTATAACTCTTGCACAGGACAGAGGCTTTGTTTCCATGCCTACCCAGACATTCCTGTTTCCATTTTGTCTTTTCATAATTATTAATATCTTCACATTCAGAATCATACAGGTGTGGATAATAAAGTACACGTTAATACAGAGATAAAGAGAAGGAGAAGGAAAAAAGGATGCTGACCAGGTTTTCAGCTTCAACAAGCCAGTGGCAGAGCCATGTACTACAAAAGGGCGGAAGTGAATGGGGGCTGTAAGGAGAATGTATAGGTTCACATCTAGACACAGTGTGTTGAAGGAGAATCATACATATTGACAGAAGTCAATAATCAGACCATTGCAGGGTCAGGAGATCAAGGAGATGTTGGCCAGAAATGCATGGCTTTGAGAATGATCAGAATGGATGGTAATTGAAGTGATGGGACTGTGACATCACTGAGTCAGAAAGTGTGGACAACCACAACAAGAAGCCGAGGCCCTTGAGGAGCTAAAAGTGACACCTACTTTGCATGGATGAACAAAACAGGAGGCATTTACAAAAAAAAAGTTCTGGATAAACAATGCCATGAAAAGATGATGTCATTACACTAGCAGGAACACTGCAGAGGACTTCCCATAAAAGAATAGTGTTGCAAATAGTGAGTGGTCTGGAAAGTCAGCGGCTTCTGGCACTCAGATAGGGAGAAATGTGTCTGTGGAATTCCAGTCACTAGCCAGTCAGTGCTGCCGCTGCTGGTGCCTTGCTTACAGTGAGAGTTGTAGCCCTTGTTTGGGGATTTTAAGGAATGGCTGATATACGTTTGAATGGTTTTCCCAAATTACAGCCAAAAAGGAGAAGCATCCATAATGCATCAAGAGGATGTTTAGAATTTGAGTGTGATGTCTCAACACGCTTTAAGATCCCCTAGAAGACTATGCTTTGAGATGTCGTCTGTAATATCCATCATGAAGGAGGGGAAATGATTCTGTTTGATCATAGAAGTTAGAATAGTTTTGACTTCCATGGAAATTTATGTGACTTTACTTTTTTGGTCTAGAATTGGAACAAAATTATTTTATTCATGGGAGCAAGTTCCTTAACTATTTCCCCTTCCCCCCAAAAATGTATTTCATAAATGTGCTCAATAAAAATAAAGTTCTGGTTTCCCCCTTTCCCCCTTGTGCAAAGAATTATACCACTCTAGGCTTCTGAAAATCTAGGGGTTCTTTGGGTGCTCACTGACAAATAAAATATGAACCAATGTTTTGACTTTCTGAAAATGATGTTCTCCCTTGTCTTTGTGCATGCAAATATTTTATGAGGCCTGGAGATGCAACCACTGTAATAGGTGTCCTGTGTCTTTGAAGAAAATAGGAAATGAAAGTTCACTTAATAGCTATTGTATATTTCCATTAATGAATCTTCTAAAAACGGAAGATTTTATTTATACTATTTGATTCTACAGAGCAAAAACTTAAAGAAATAAATGTATACTTCCTCTGAAGTCTATAGAGGAAGCCAGCCATGTGGGATGAGTCAGGAGGATTGCATGTTACACTTTGCGGTACAATGAGTTCGAGGCCAGCCTGAGTTTCATAGGAAGGCACTGTTTCTCAAAAAAAGCCTACAGATTAATAAAACTGCACATTTTCTTTTAAAAAGCACAATTGTTGGTAGTATTAGTAATCATAACAAGTGAATCCTCTAAAGAAAGTTTCCAGTTCAGAGAAAAGAGCTATCACCTCACACGTGCAAAGAGACTCTCATTCAAGTTTGGTAATTATATTGAGTACTGATCAATAATCTGTACATGAAGTGTAATCATGACCCACAGAGCATACTTGCCCAGGTAACTATAAATAGGGTCCATCTCCAAGAAAGTCACAGATTATCACTTTAAATTGCACATGGATTTACACTATCCATGAATTATCATAACACCCTGTGAACAGAACACACCTGCAAGCTTAACAGTGTCTGTGTTCAAACATTAAATTTTAGATTTGACATTCCACTTACAGGAATATATTTAGATCAATTTATCAGAAATACACTTTTTAGTAAAACTTTCTTTAAATTTTTTTTTTATCCTATGAATTTGAAATTGCTTGCCTACTGTTTTTATGTGAGTTATTTAATGATACAGCATAGATAACATTTAATCTTCTTCGGGTGGGAAATTATTATTGAACCTATACTCACGATGCCCATTTTATCTGTCCCTGTGTACATTGTTATGTTTAAAATGATTGAGCAGTTCTGAAGTTTCCTTTAGCATGCTGCATGTGACAATCGAATTAAAACATATTAACGGATGGACCTTGGCTGGCAGATGATACAATTGGTAACATTCTGTAAAAGCAAGAGGACCTCAGTCTGATCCCCAAGTCATCATTATCCAAACTACTAAAGTGTACACATAATTCCTAATAATATTTGCAAAGCATTTGTCACAGTATGAGAGAAACTCGAGTGTACTCAGGATGGTGTCTATGTAAATGGTCCTATGCCGTGTTAATCAAGGACAGACAAAAAGTGCTGGGGTTGGGAAGATAACCCTGTTGGTAAAGCACAAGCTAAATAGGCATGAGGGGCTGAGTGAGGAGCTGAGTTCAAATCTCTAACACCCATGTGTTAAAAAGTTGTCACTCACCCAGAATCCTAGCTCTGAAGAGGCTGTAATAGGTGGATCTCTGTCCTAATAGTCTAGCAAGAACTTCGGTTTCAAAAATTCTATCGCTTCAGGAAGACACCCATGTTCCCATGTAAACACATGAATGTGAACAGAGAGAGAGAGAGAGAGAGAGAGAGAGAGAGAGAGAGAGAGAGAGAGAAAGCATGCATCAAAAAAGAACTAAGAACTGATTACACTGGCAGTTAATCCCTAAGTTAGGTAGGTCAGAGTACCAACTGATTGTCATCCCTGCCCCGTGAGAGTCAAGTGTAGCAAAGAACATGACCAGAGGAGATTTTAGTGAGTGAACTGTAGAAATTATCCCACAAATAAGTTTCTCTTAGGGGATTCCTAAATCACTTTGTTTTATTCCTGTGTGAAAGCATATCTCTGTAAACCAAATGTTTGATAATTGCAAGCCATAAACATTTTGCTTTTAGAGTTTTGCATGCAATTTAGGAAGACACTCCACCTGCTTTAGGTATTTATGATTGCATCGTGTGTGGATATGTGTATGCATTCATTAAGCCACACAAGGAAAGGAATGCCAGCAGAGTTAGGGCAGTTTTGAACGCGTTGTAGACAATGAGACAGTTGGCCGTGTAGTATGCACCGAGTGACCCCTACTCCTAATTAAGGCTGCAAGTTCCCCTCATCTGTAAGGATGGGAATGACCATGCCCCTGCCCAGCAAGCGCATTACACTTCATAGAAAAAGCAAGCTGTGGACTTGTAGTCTCCTTTTGAGAATAACAGGTTCCGGGTTCTAAGCTATTGGGATATTTAACCCGTGCGACTGAAGCCAAAATGGTTCAGTGGACTATTTTACAAACTAGCACCTCTTCAAAAGTGTATCTTCTGCTTAGATATAAAGTAAAACATTTATGAAAATATTAGTCAGAGATTTGTTTGCTTCCTAATTTTTGTTTTTACTTTGAAAAATTATGCTAATCTCATGGCAGCAACTTGGCAGTGGGAAAAAAAATCTCGAGCAGACGTTGAGATCGTAGACTCTGGGTGTGGGAGAGAAAGAAACCAAGTGAAGGAACTGAACACGAAAGAATTGAAACAGGAATAGATGGATAACCTTCCAAAGAGAATAGACATGTTGTCCTGGAGATAAACAGGCTCAGATTACAGGCCTTGTTGGTAGCGTATTTATTCAGCTGGGGTCTCTGAACTCTAAGTCCAAGGCACTGTGATTGGAGATTAAAAGCGGGTTTCCAATATGTTTAATCCATAGCACTGCCCAGCATTTGTCATAGATAATCTCAGTAGTGGGGGCCCCAAACCTGAAAACTGAGAAATGCTGTCTTAGAAGGTAGAAGATGTATTAGATTCTGTTTCTGCCCTTCAGCACTTCATAAGCTAGCCTTAATTCTCTAAGCCTCGGGGGGTTTGTATCTGTAAAGTACAGATAATAATAGTTTCTTTGCCAGTTTCAAGGTAAATGAGGTAAAAGGAAAATGTCTTCCAAAGCTTTCCAGGGCTTATGTATTGATCAAAGTTTTCTATTTTAATTGTGTACCTTCATGAGGGCTGAGCACGATTTTTGAGAGGGAAAAAAAAAAAAAGAAAGAAGGGCCTATAATCTTCTTAAAGTCATTTCCCATGTTTATTATCTAGTGAGAGGATGTGAAATATTCCTAGTTACATTTCTTACTTTTTCTTTCCTTGTGCTAAACTATTTATTTCTACTTTTCTAATGGATTATAAATGAATTCCTACTAGCCTGAAACTCTCAGTGCTTCCTCATCAGGCTCCTGAGCCTTGGAATTATGGGCAACAACATGAGCCACCACAGCTAACCAAGAGGTTATTTTAGAAAATAAACTGATGAACGGTCATCTATATCCAATCTCTTCCCAGTGTACCAGTTCTGAAACTCTTGTCCTGAATTTTGAAGGCATTTGAAAAAGAGTAGCCCACCATCCCTTTTCAAATTAATTTCTGTGGTTTTCTTCTTATTTCTTATCTTAAAACAGAACAACAAAATAAAACTGGAGTGAAAGTCGTTTCCCCTGTCATGAGCCTAAGACTTTCGTGCTTTAGAGGAGCTAAATCTCTATAGATTCATGTGTTCGGGTTATTGCTGTTCAAGCCAGTCCTTCTTGACCATTTCTGCCTGGGGGCTCTCTTCTGTCCATGGTAGAGGCTTCTAGTCACCTGTTTCTCTGATTTGTTTAGCAGCAGCAACAGAAGAACCAGAGGTGATCCCGGACCCTGCGAAGCAGACAGACAGAGTGGTGAAAATCGCAGGCATCAGTGCTGGGATCTTGGTGTTCATCCTCCTCCTCCTGGTTGTCATAGTAATTGTGAAAAAGAGGTAAGATCCAATAGAGTCCTGTACCACACACTCATGTGTTTGCCACTGATTTTCACATTTTTCCCTCAAGCTCTTTGACAAGTTCTAACAAGATTACCTGCACCTCAGTCCCTTCTTACTTGGGATTTTTAAGTGAAATCTTATTTAGTTATTTGCAGTTTGTTCTGGGATAGAAGCATAGATTTTTGTTAACATGTATTTTATGTAAAACTTTAAATTATTTGAATTTTCAGAAATACATGAGAAATTCATCATATCATATTTTAGGTGTTGTTATTATTAAGCATAATACAATTGATGGTTACACAGTTATGGTGCTTGGACCAAAGTCAGAATTACTTTTATTCTTAGTCTATATTTTCATAAATATGGGGTACATATGAGGCATGAAGAAAATAAAACTTTATTTAATGACATTGTATATTAAATATTCACTGACTAAAATTTTTAAAAAGAAGAGTAAATGCTTAAATTGAACCTTATCTTTTATACTATGTCAGTAAATGTCGCCACCTCCTGGAGTTCTATAAAGCTATGACTTCCTGGAATTTAAATTTGTATTCTAGAGATGAAAGTATACTCTTGCTCAATTGCATTTCTGATATACAGCACAGTTTTTATGCTTGGAGCTATTTGACTATTATGTAAGTTGTCAGAATCTGTAAGTCATCTTCTTAGAAACTAGGATGACATCTCATTCCTTCCAAGCAAACATTTTGGATAATTCTACAATTTGGAAGGACTTTTGAAAAAAAAAAATTACATGCAGAGTGCATTCCAGTAGCTTTGTATAGAAGTGGGTTTTGCTCTACTAATTGTACCGATTGTATAATAAATGATGTTGCTTATAGTACATGAATTCTCATAGTGTCCAATTATTATTGCTTTCTACTTCAAATAAAACATTAGCATTATGGCTAAGACTCATATGTTAATAACAATTCCATGAGCATCGATTTTAATATATTGCCTCTTTACACTTGTCCCCGGAGACATGTATGTTGGAGAAGACACATCTGCATTAGAAACATTAGGTATGCACTATAGCGTTCTGTGTTCAATTAGCTACATATGTGCTTCCTCCAAACAGTGCTTTTTCTCTGCTGTTGTCTACCTCTGTCATTGGAAAACACATCCTAGGCGAGACAAGAAGATTTAAGTCTTCGAGAAACACTAGTTTGCCAGTGCATACCCATAAAAATCATGGAATAGAACCTTCAGACCTTATATCTCTGTTCAGATTAAATCTGTACTTGTAGAGCGAAAAAGCCAAATAGCTTAGAGAACCCACTTAACACTGCTTCTTCATTAAAAGGGTTGTCACATCCGATTGGATGCTCGAGAATGGCTTCTGACTGTGCCCTCCTCAGAATGGAATTCAATCTCCTTGCATTTGTTGTTTATCCAAAAACTTGTTTGTTTTTGAGTAGCCTCCCTTTGCTGGATTTGTACTAAGAATGACTAATGAAAACTGAGGTCCTTCAAATTGCTAAGCTTGACGTCACTGAAGCAAGCATGGGGCTTGGGGGATATGCTCTACCAATGCTCTAAAACTGCACATCTTTGCTGATTCTTCTTCTGGTTTACATTGCCAATGATCGGATGACTAGGCCTCCACTCAAATCTTTCATGTTTAAGTTTTCATAACTGTTTTACTGGCTAGAAAGTCTTCTGAACTTTTGCCTGCCTCGGTAACACCTTTGTGACTGGCGAAGACCATACTCTCACAGACAGATGAGATTGTGTTTGCCGCCTTCTGGTTATATCATTCCTAAATGACTTGAACTCATTGCTTACCTCAGCACATTCATAAGGGCTTCAAATCACGGGTCGTGTATACGTCACACACATATATCCTGTGTTTTTTTAAGCCAGGGTAGGTTATTATCATTGCCCCAAAGCATGTAGCAGTCCTGGATAAGACAGAGTTTAGCTTCAAATTTTGTGTTACTCTGTAGTTTCATTTGAGTATAGAAAGTTACAATAAAAACGGTGGAAATGGGAACCGTCTTACCATCTGCGTTTTCATGAGAAATTGTAACGTTTCTTTTGACTATCCCTCAGTGTGAATAATAAATGTAGGGTTATTTGCTTCGATGAAAATAGTTCCATGTGATTTGGGTTGCAAAAGAATAGCTTAGAATGCAACCAAATAAAACTTTATGGCTGAGATTATATAGAAAGTAAGTTCTTAGGCTGTGAAAGGAATATTGCAACTTTCAGAACGCAATGTCATTCTTCTTTCAGTTTAATTGCTCTTGAATTATTTCCAATTATATGCCATTTTCATTGATTGTGTATAATTTAAATGCACAGCATGAACACATTAAAACTTCCAAACATCAACTTGAAATCATGTTTCAATACAGTAAATGTGTGTGTATATCATGTTCACATGCATCTACTGTAGGAATACCTTCATGTATATGTAGCATATGGTACCTGTATTCACATAACATGTATATACTGTGTACCATTAGATACACCCGGTGTGTAAAAATGTAGTACTTTGCATATATTAACATCATATCTTTATGTTTTGTATTTAAAATAAACTACTTCGTTGAGTATATCCATCCTATACATAGCTGATCCATCAGTCATGACATTTTGATGGCAATGAATGATATTATGCTTTAATTGCATGTTGAAAAACACACAATCCATTTAATTTTTCAGTTCTTTGGCAGTGTAGGAAATGTCAGCATGTTACTTTTTTTTCCTAGTCCTGTATTAAAAATTTTATTTTTTGCTGCATATCTGTCTGTTTAACTGCATGGCATAAGAATGCTAACAACGCATGGGCAAATTAAAATGGCAAAGCAAAAAAAAAAAACCCACAAATTTCATTTTGTTTCGTTTTCTTTTTAACGCACATTTTTCTGCTCTATTGGATGTGACGGAGTCACGCTTCTCATTCACCATTGCTTCTCTTTTCCCACTGTCTGTGATCTGCTTGCCAGGAGGAGCTACTATTCTTACTCCTACTACCTGTAAGTAGAAAATGGGTCATTACAACTTTACCTGTGTCCAATTGCAATATCCCTTTCAAAAAACCCACAGAAACAGTGTGTGCTTGGTGGCGTTTCAAAATCTGTATCTTTCTGGACTCTAAAACTATAGACTGTGACCTATTTTGATTCTCTTTTTTAAAAGGGATATTGTGTTTCTGTATGTTCAGCTACTTTTAATTTTTAATTACAGTTTTTCATAAGAAGCTTTAGTCTGTAGCTAAGAGCATCATTTATTTACTTATGTCAAGTCTGAGCTCTCTTAGCAATATGATACTTTATGCATCTCGTGACAAATGTGGTTTTAGCTTCCTAATCCCAAGCTATATCATAATGTATTATGCTTGACAATATGAGCCCAGTGAGATATTTGTGCAGCATTCAGACTGCCCTTGAAAGATGCAAACCAGATCAGGCCTGCATTTGATAGCATCGCTTTCCACCTCACCTGGTATTCAAAAAGATCATAACAAGATATCCTTGCTGGCCATTAAAACCTTTATAATGGTATTACAAATAAATTGATGAAATCATAATGTAGTGAAGGCAGAGACATACGTATATCTTTTCTAGAGTAGGAAAAATGAGTTTGTTTATTACAATTTAAATAGAGACTTTATAAAACTAAGCCAAGACAAAGCCTGTCAACCTACTGAGGAACAAAGATATCACATTTTGACAGTCTTTTGCAATCTCCAACTCACCCAAGACTAAGGTACGGTAAGTCTTCTTTATATCAGCAGGGAGAATATTGGCCAGTCAACTTCCTGAGCCATTTTCAGTTTGTGTCTTTAGAATCCAAGATAATTGTTAGCCATTCAGTTCAAAGGATATGGTACTGTCCAAGACTCAAGGATTCAGACTGTTTGAGACACACAGCCTGCAGTGTCTATATCAGTAGGTCAGGTTTCAGCTAGCATTACAGCAAAATTTAACTAGTCAATCACTTCAATGCAACTCTGCCAACATTTTGAATATTACAAACATTTGGCTTCCTACAATCTGCTAAAACAAGCAGGTGTAAAATAACAGTGCTCTTAGCTTACTGTGATGAATCATAATATGCTTGTTAAATCATGTTTGATGAAGCCGATGGTAATTAACCGTACCATTTCATACAATGATGGAGTACGTTCCCCCTTTATGGCCCACCCATACATCCACCTGCAGAAGTTTATGCTGTTGGCTGCTTTGATAATGAAAGTCATTTGCACATCTGTCAACCTCAAGTACTTGCAAAATGAATTGTTTTAACCATCCTGAAGTGCACATTACATGTGCTCATGGCTCTGGGGCAGACAAAGCATGAGACATACTAGAATCAATATGTATTTAGTTACAAGAATGTCAATAAAACTTCCATTATCTGTCAATGTATCTGTAAACCTAGAATGGGATTCCATTTTTGGTGCACAGTTACTATCTCTCTTCCAGACAATGTAGCTGTTTATACTTCGCTGTGATTGACACTTAGAGCTACTGGCACCTTAATACCTAGTCAGATAATAATGTCCTAGGGATGTATACTTTTAAAGGTTACTTAAGCACATCTAGGGTTACTAATCTCAATCTGATTTCTTTTATAAAGGGAGAAATAAAGTAGAATAGGAAATAGAAAAAAACTACGATGTTTAAGTTAATTCTGTCACAGTAACTTTTTTTTTTACATACACGAACGCACTTAACACTGATGTTAGCTCCTGGAGATTCAGAATGCCCTTAATGAAAGCCAGGGTTGTTGTGAGAGTGGAGGCGCACGGGACTGTCTGATTGTGCCCGACTCTGCAGCTGCTCACAGGGTTATAGTCTTGTGCAGTTTGCTCACTATCTGAGTTTCCATGAATCTGGAACACCCTTGATAGAAGACATTCCCTTTCTGTTTCTGGAAAAATACTTTTTTTTTATTTTACCCATTCATGAAACACAGAGAAATGATTCATTCATAAATCCTGAAAAGTTTGGAATTGTCGTTCCATTTGCCGCTTTCTGCATGCCCATCTTTATATTTTAACGTTACATGGAAACCAAATTCCAGTTTGTCCAATTTTTTTTTTCAAATTGATCTCTCACATTTTTAAAGAAATGAATCAACACTTTAACCTTGGCGAAGACACAAAAACTTGAAGGAAAATTGAAAGTCTCACTTGCTTGTTTTTGAGACAAGTTCTTGCCATGAATCCCAGTTCAGGAAGACTTTGCAAGTCCCCGGCTCCACTATCTACTTCTACTTCCTGGGATTGGAGATGGGCAACACCCCTCTGGCTAGAACTTATGTGTCAAGCATTTTCCCCTGCTGTTTCAAAATGTAAAATGACAGCTTATTTGTGCTATATTCATGTTTTATTCTGATGCTTAGCAACTGGTGTTCAACCACTGTAGTAGGCTGCCTAGTGCGGCAGGAAACACAGCATAAACAGCTGGGTATTGTGTAATAGCTTAAGCTATGGAATGAGGTCATTCTTCATTGCTTATTAGATAAGTAACCTTGGGCAAGTTATTTCACTCCCCTAAGCCTCAATGAACTCATCCATATGATGAGAATCCTTAAACAGTTTTCAGTGGATTGATCCGAGAATTAATTGAGTTAACCAATGGAAAGTGCCAAGTATATAACAGGCCCAATTTATCTCTTCCACAAGTATTTATTGAGAGCCTGCTTTGTGCCTTAAGTATTCAAGCACTGTTCCCATGCCCAGAATGTGCAGGTGATCTTTCCTTATTGAGCACACAGTAGGGAAACGACCGAAAAATGATCTGATGACGCGTGACTAGTGTCATCTCAAGAGCTGAGCATGTTACTGTAAAAATCACCTGAATCAGATGGCACAGGGAGCAGCCATAGCAAGCCTTTCCAAGGAAGTTTATTTGGAGTCGCAGTGAATAGAAACTAGCCAGGTTTCAGAGACTTAATGATGTTGTAGGCCTAAGGACAAAAATATGTCATGATGGCTAACTAGCAGGAAGTTTGGAATGCATAAGTTTGTCGGCTCCGTGCAGCTTAGTTGTATTTAATTAGAGTTAAACACTTTTTTAAAATAAAATAAAATCATTGCTGGGCAGCGGTGGTACATGCCTTTAATCCCAGCACTCAGGAGGCAGAGGCAAGTGGATCTCTGTGAGTTTAAGGATAGCCCCATCTACAACGAGAGCTCCAGGACAGCCAGGGGTACACAGAGAAACCCTGTCTCAAATGCCCCCCCCCCCGTAAATAAGTAAACACAGAAATAAATAAATCATTCAGTTGCGCTAGTCTTTGTATTTGTCTTATGTCTGTTTAACTGTGAAATGACAACCATTGCTCCCAATATCAAATGAATAAGTTGTTCAAGTTTGGAAAAATAAATCCAGGGAGTAGAGAGATGACTCAGCTGTTGAGAGCATCGGCCGCTCTTGCAGAAGATTTGAGTTTAGTTTACAACACCATTGTCAGGCAGCTTACAACTGTGTCTGTAACCCCAACTCTAGAGGCATAATATGTTCCTCTACAAAGAACTGTGCTCATGTAGATGTGTACACATTCACACACACACACACACACACACACACACACACACACACACACAGAGAGAGAGAGAGAGAGAGAGAGAGAGAGCTTTAATAAAATAAAAACTCCTGAAAATGATTAAGAAAACTAAGATACCCATTTTAAAACATTGCTTATATTTTTAAAACTTGAAAGCCATTTCAACATTTGGGTCAAGTGCTACGAGTCTTGGGACAAACTGCCCGGTAGAGTGTCTCACCCCTCACCTAGATTTGTATGCTCTGTCTAGATCTTTATATTTCTGCAGGCTTTACCCCTGGCCTAGGAGGGAGAGTTGGTAGCACTTTCAGTGTGTGCAGTAAGTGCTGTCAATAAGCGACAGTGGTGATGATAGTGATGGTGGAGATGGTGTAGGGGTCATTCTGGTAGCGGTAGATAATAATCCTTTGTATTTGTTTTTTAATATTACTAATACCTACTTACTGTTCCTTTTAAATGCTTGAGGGGTGCCCATCAGCAAGTCATATTTATATCTGCTTTATTCAGTTGTGAGTGAGATCTGTTTTGTGTGTGTGTGTGTGTTCTGTGTGTTGGTTGTGTGCCCCTGTGGTGAACTACTGCAATTCTCAGAGAAAAATAGACTGGAGCAACTCTCAGCCTGTGGACATAAACTCCATCTATTCAATGAACCTTTGTAGTATTAATGGTATGTTTAATATAGACAGTAGTGGGGGACCAGAAGAGAATGCCTTGCCACGGACCTCCAAAATGGCATTCTTAACAACCGGGGAGTATTTCTCAGGCAGCATTAATTGCTACCATAAATTGAGTGATGGGAGTTTAAAGTGGACAGTGGTTTACAGCACCTCTGGGTATAAATTTCCTGGTGAATATGAGTTAAATATTTTATATGCATTTAGTAGATTTTGAGTGTGTGTCTCACGGATAACAGAGAAACCAAAAAATATGTTCTCGATGTGGGAAATAAAAGGCTCACTTCTTGTGCAGTTTGCATTGTTATCTCTGATTTTCACAGTGCTAAATCATTCTCCTGCTGTATTCGTTAGACATTTCTGCAGAGGATAGTATGCATGAGAAGTCTAAAATACCTTCTAGGGTTTGACCTTGTCAACCCTCCAAGATGACAATAATCGACATTCCAACTTTGCATATCAATTTTCAAATTTTCCCCAGTACCTTTCTTACACAGTAGATGATTCAGTTCGATCTTTTTATGAGTGTTTTGTATCATATAACCAGAGCTGACTTTCAGAGACTTTGGATTAGTTTTGATGGGTGCTGTAGTTGCCTGCTCAGTGTGTCCGTGCTCTGTGTGTTTATGCTTGTACTTAGGAGCAGCAGAGAGTAGAATGGGCCTTTTCCTTGTTGCTGTTGGCCGGCTCTGCTAAAGCAAAGCTAGGCCATGTTGTTGGCAAGACCTCCAAGCATTTGATCAAAGGCAGTTGTCACTCAGGCGGAAGACTGGAACTTGAATTTTTAAAGTTTTTCCTTAATTCATCTGCGAATTAACTGTACTTTAGAAGCATTTGTTTATACTCTTGAAAGAACGTTTTCATGAAAATTATTTATTTTTTTTATTTTTGACAATTTCATGCATATAAACAACATAGTATGATTATAGCAACCTTCCCGTACCCTCATTTTACTCCATTTTTTTTCTCTCTGATCCCAGACCCAAATAGAAGAAATGATTGTTTGGCAACTTGAATTTTAAGGATCTAACAAATATTAAGTGTGCTACATCAACCAGCCGATGTTTGTGTGTTGTCTTGACTCCTGAGATGATGAACAGTTCGTAGGTTTTCCGATACATGTCTGTAGCCTTGTCCTCAGGCTCACTTGAGCTTCTTGATTGCTGGTGTCAGCTGTCCCTCAAGGCTCACCGCACTCAGGGCTCCCTTTTGTGTTTGCTTTGGCAGCAAGCTTGCTAAAAAGCGCAAAGACGCTATGGGGAACACGCGGCAGGAGATGACTCACATGGTGAATGCTATGGACCGAAGTTATGCGGATCAGAGCACCCTGCACGCGGAGGATCCCCTCTCCCTCACCTTCATGGACCAGCATAACTTCAGCCCAAGATGTAAGTCATTCATTATAGTTTTGCTCAATGCTTTGGAGGCTTATTAAGTGCATCTGATTTTCTACAATATCTTTTGAATAATGAAAGAAAGAGCCAGAAGACAAACCAGCTGAGAAGAGTAAAATGGAATTTACAAAAAGACCTCTTTGTTCAGTTTGGTACAGGATTTAGTTTAACTTTAAACTAGGGATTTTGTCTTGAAAGTATAAGAAACATTCCAAAACAAGACATAAGGCAACATGTGTCATTGAATTAAGCTAAAAAATGGTGTTTTCTACATAAGATTAGTGTTTGTCAATTTATACTTTTGTCTTTTCCTTTATAGAAGATAAATGTTCATTAGTGATAAGAAGAAACATAGTAATGCTTTCTAGGAATTAGCGGCATAAGTAGTTATTCCATTAAGGTAATCTAGTATTTGTCCTGGGCCATTTCAATACCAAAAACTAACCACAGAGATGGGGAGGTAAGTTGGTGAAAAAAGTATTTACCAGACAAGCATGAAAACTGGAGTTTAGATCCCCAGAACCCACATAGAAACCAGGCAGGTGTGGCATCCACCTGTAATCCTACCTCTTGGGAGGCATAGATGTCCCCTGGGAACTCTGACTAACTGGAATAGCTGGAATTGGTGAGCTTCAGGGTTCCTGAGACCCTATCTCAATGCATTCATTGGAAGATTGAAGAAGCCGCATAAGATCAACTTCTTTGGAGCCACACAAGTACGTCCTCACACGTGGTGACATGCATACATTCACACATACCGTCCAAACAAGAAATAAAGTAACTACTTGAAAGATTTGTCTTTTACGTTTCTAAGTATCAAGTAGGAAAACTAAAAGTGTACTTGTGTTACCTGGCTCGCAAAGATTAATGAGATCACATCCACGCTCATCTCTCCATTCCCCAAACATAGGTTCTTTCAATATGACTAATGTTGACCTATTGAAGTAGTTTGGAAATGTTTTCACTGAAGTCATGTTTAAGCATGGGGGAGTTGGATAATTGCATAATTTGAATTTCACATGAAAATTATTCCCTTTCAAGGCTTTATGTTTTTAAATTAGTTATATTTAAGTTAACATGCCTAAGTCCTTTCTTCAAATCTTCAGGTAAAATTGATGCTTGAGATGGACAAATTAAGTTTGTCATTAGCATTCATATTTTGGTAACACCCTAATTTGGTAAACATGGGTGTAAGAAGACAAGAAGTAAATAATAAAATTCATATTTATATGGAAATTATAAACATAATAAATGGTAAGGTTGTGCAATATTTTAGACTATGTCTTTATGTCATTTCGTAAAGGGAATTTTTTAAAAAAAAACCTTTATCTTGGTGAAATTTTTCAGTAATTCTTGACCTTGAATACAGGCTGTCATTTTTCTTGTGTCTATTCACACTGAGTGGAAGTTAGAAGTACTATGTCAGTCAGTTTGGATTCAGTTTTAAACATGATAGGGCCTTTGTGGCCTGTCTTATTTTTGTTTCACTATTAAGATTTAACAACAGAGAAGAACATAAAATTCTATGGCTTTTAAAAGAAAGTTTGCTTAAAATATGAGTGTATCATCTCTCCAAGTAGTTGATTCACTATTTACTTGGTTGTAGATCTGACTGTATTTTTGTTCCACAGAACAATATTTTTGTTCTTCTGTTTGCTACCCATGTCAGTACCTGACTATAAAGTTACAATTCTGAGTGTGTATCTATAAATATCCATTTATGAACTTGAAGAAAGGATTAAACTTATTCCCCACAGTTAACTGGGAAAAATGATTAGAATGAATATAAGATCTTTGTTTCTGTAAATACCTTACTTACACTTGATAGATCTAAAATGCATGGTTCCATTTCTCCTAATTTTATCATTTTTATAATGTCAAGGTGAATAATCTGGCTTTTTAAATTGAACAGAGACCTGGACTATAATTATAGATACAACTCTCTTGACATTTTACAATAACCCTGGTTAAAAAAAGGAATGTTACCCTTGCAAAATACAGAAATCAAAGTAAGTTGTGTCACAATACTTTTAAGAAAATATAAATCAATTATAAAGATTATTATAAAGGTATAAAAATTACATGAAAAGTAGAATTTAAAACCAAGCATTGCTTCACTAGCTTTGTTTTCCCACAGTGCCCAATGATCCACTTGTGCCGACTGCTGTGTTAGGTGAGGCCCGAAACGTTTATCACCAGTCTTTATTTTATTTTCCTCTTTTGCATGCCTCACGACTCCTTGCATGGGTTGTGTCTTGTCCACATAGTAACTCTTTGCCTTTAGGAAGTCCCTTGGTGTTTCAGATAGATCCCCATAGTCCAGACAGAGACAGCCAACTTTGTTCAACACATTTGGGTCTGGTGGATTTGAATGGCGGGCACACTGTTTAGAACAACACACCAGCGTTAAGCTGTGCTGGATTTGGAGCAGAAGCCCAATTGCTTCTAAGGGATAACTAATGGGAATAATTCAAACACCTCCACTCCCAGGGGCCAGGAGCGACTGAGCAACTAGCTGATGAAGGAAAGGCAGCTTTAGCAAAGGGATTGTCTAAGTCCTTCTAGCTTTAAAGCAATTAAAGATGCAGTCAAAGGTGTAGAGGGTGACTCTGTTCATTTGCTTTTACTTTGTTCTTTTAATAGTTTGCTAAAGCGAGGAAGTTGCTAGAATCTTGATGCAGGGGTTTGGCATAGACACTACATTGCATGATAAGTAGTAGTACGTTTCAAGAAGTTAGAAGAGACCCCTGTGTTTACCTGGATCACATCTGAGGAAATGGGTGTCGCCTTTATTGATTCTGGCCTTTTTAAACCTATATATTTCAAAGCAAAACAAGTTTAATTTCAAATTGCTTCTTATTTCTTGACAAATTGCTCAACAATCATTTGGCCAGCGTGCATTGTATGTTCATAGGTTCTCTATCAGTAACACCCTAGTGGTTCTGCTTACCCAAAAGTACACATTATCAATACACATATCTTAAAAATGATCCCACATTATATTTATCATTCATATTTAATACTTATCGTGAAAATGGAAATTAGCTTATGCATCTCTTTGCTTATGTAGTTATTCAATTTAAAAATCTATCACAAAACATTTTGGAATTTTGCAACTGATCAGTTAAGTAAAATGTACTTCGTGAACGAAAATAATCATTTTAAATTATAATCTTAGAGTTTCTATAAATAATAACTGTTCCAATAGAATCTGTATTCTAACTGCACTTTCCATGTGCTGTGCACAACAACAGTGAGACAGAGGTGACTTAAGGCATTTTTTTGTAACAGGTGGCATGATTACATAGGGAGGAGCTATACCGGGTGCTCACAGGGACGGTATCACTGCCCCTACATATGCCATCTTCTCTTGAAAATTGTAGATAGTATCAGTATCTCGCACTGATAAGTAGAGTTCACTTAAATGAAAATAGTAGACACTCTGAAGAGAATGGCTTGCCTAAATGTTAAAGTCCATCATTGGACTTTTCTAAGGGCATGGAGAATTCGTTCTAAATCGCGAGGTCTATATAGAATTACAATATGAACTCAGAAAATGCCTTTACAGGTTTCCTCCTCTCCCTCTAGACAGGGTAACCGCTCCTGCCATGCTTCCTCCCCGCCTCAGGATTGTAGAGAGCTAATGAGATAATGCACATGAGCTTTACAAACTACAAAGGCTAAGCAGTTCTTAAAGTATTCCAAATGGAAAGGGTTGGTCATGTTTAGGGAAAGTTAGAGCCGCTAGCCCAGCAGTGTCATCTGACCTATTTGTACGCATTTTCCATCGTGTGATTTTATTTCATTTGGAAAGTGGGCATGTTTGGGTTAAAAGTGATTGGCTTTCTTTGAAAGCTAATTCTCATTCCCATTAGACATCAGATTAATCTCTTCCATTCTTCATTGTTCCCAGAATTGTGGTGTTTACGGTTGTTTTTCATCCACTCATTTTATACAGCAACTTTTTGAAATAATTTTAAGCATTGTTTCATATTGATATCTACTTGATGACTTTGCAAGGCTTAGAAAATTTTCATATTGATTCATATTTTTGTCTTTTGTGTCTTACTGCTTCATTGGGCTTAAGTCCCTATAACGGGTAAGTATATTACAACGAACTCTAGAAACCTTTCAATCAAGTCACAGTTGAAGTTATTATTCTTCAGTGTATAATAAAGATAATGATAAGCACAGGCCCCCTTGCTAGGACTCACGTTATTACGTAGTTTAATGAGGTAGAAATATATTGAAATTAATAATTCATATGTGATTATTCTTGAGACCTTGCTGTTTTTTGTACTATTGTATTAAAGCCTAATGCCACACAGAGGCCACGCAATTTCATGCTAGGATATAGTCATCTGTAAGATGTGCAATGTGAGTAAAGTTTGTTTCTGAGCCTCTTAAAATTGTAAAGCTTCTGCTGTTCCAGCAGGTTCGAAATGAGCTCTGTCTAGGGTTTTCCTGTCTACCTTCCCACAGTCTAGGTGCTTATATTCTGCACCCCTCCCTCGCCACATTCTGTTACTTTGACCTCTCCTAATTGATTGTATACCCTGTGACAGAGCCTTAACCAGTTGCTTCTGAATTTAATCTTACTGGGCGATGTTTATATTCCTTATGCCAGTCTATCGATTGTGATATTTTAGTGACGGTAGACCAGTTGACTGCAGTCTCACAGAAGACAGGGGAAACTGAAGCCAATCATGTTTGCTAGCAAATGTTTGCAAGTAGAGTAGTGGGTAAAACCGGAATAAAAGGCACCAATTCTCTTGAGTGCTGAGGTCATAGCAGGCTCCAAGGGCTTTCTTTTTCTGTTGATGTTATTTTCTTTATTTGTTTTTTTTTCTTTAGTGTGTGGTATTTTTAGACATGAATGCCAAAAAAAAAATCAGTTTAATAAGAGAGAGTAAAGATAAATGCAATCAAGCTAATGATAGAGGCATACAAATCTGATTGTAGGGTTCTTTTTTTTTTTTTTCCCTTCTCCAGGAAGAAAAAGTGTTTGTCATGGGGACAACAATTCATTTTTTGCCATATCCTATTTGTAGAGTTGGCGATAGGGCAGGCAGATGTACCAGCCCTTGAAATATGTTTCACTGTTCATTAAATATCATTCTCTGCAGTATGCATTATCATTTCAAACGCAAGTGCCCCTAAAAGTGTACTTTCCTTTCTGGTAATCAGTGTGACCGTATTATGCTTTTCAAAGTAACTCCCCTTCAACGTTTGTTTGGTTTTTTTTTAAAGTGGTAAGTTTAAATGTGATTAATATAAGCATGTTTCTCATTGTAATGCTTAGTTCTGTGGTCATTAAAATGCTGTTTATTCTTTATAGGCAAAATGTTCTTGGTCCTTTCTTCATCTTTATGGCAGAAAGAGCATTAAAAGTCTCTTTCCGTTTTGAACTAAAACCATGGGGATGTGGTCTACACTTAAATGTGGGTGGTGGAGGCTTCTGTTGAATTTAACTTATTCATTCGTTGAATGTTTGCTGAATTTCTAGTGCATGAGTCTATCTCCAAAAATGCCAGATAAGTAAATAAATGATTAAAACACAGGGCAAGGAAGTAGCATGCAAGGAATCTGGAAGTCTCGGAAACATAAGAAATAGCCTGATAATTGCATCATGGAGGGGCTGGGAATAGAAGAGAGGTGCCTTTATTTATCTCCAGTACCCCTGGTTTCTCTCACATGGCTGACAGAGGAGCCGAAGTGTACTGTCAATCAAAACAATATTGGTAGTGACAAGAATCCAAGGAGGAAAACCTCCTAGTGCGCAGAAGGGTGGGGATGGGGTTTTGGGCTGGTTTGTCGGGGTTGTGCTGTACTGAGAACCCCAGCTGGTAGAAAAAAGGAGGGAAAAGGTGGCAAGATGAGTGGCCCTGCGGGGATGGTGGTCTAAATGGGGTCTCTGAGGGAGGTTGAAATCGGAGTGTGGAAAAGTTCATCCAATACAGTCAATGGTGAAAACATTTGTCCTGTTGACAGCTCTCTCCTCTGGTCCCAGCCTATGCCGCTGTAACTTCAAATGCTAAAAACAGAGGCGACTCAGCTATGTGTCCTGCCTATACTTTTTAAAGGTGAATCCAGTGTCTCCCTGCTTCTCCCAGCATCCTCTGTATTGCTGAAAGACATATATACTCTGACCTTAACCCTTGAGTCGAAATGAAAGGTGATGACTTTGTCTTTATGAGTGATGCTGCCCGAGGCCCCACCTCCACCCCGTGGCTGGCTTTTCTTTTCCTTCTTTCTACTACCGGAAGGATCTTAAGGTCTTTAAATCTCCTTTGCACAGATGTATATTAAACAAGATAACTTTATCTCTTTCTCAATGTTCTGAAATATGAAATCTGCCAGATGAGAACCACAGTGCCACCGCAGAGTCTAGTCGCCTTCTGGATGTTCCTCGCTACCTCTGTGAAGGGACAGAGTCCCCTTACCAGACAGGACAGCTGCATCCAGCCATCAGAGTGGCCGATTTACTGCAGCACATCAACCTCATGAAGACATCAGACAGCTATGGGTTCAAAGAGGAATACGAGGTGAAAGCTTCAATACTGTATTGAATATGATTTTTAACTGATGCTCAATGGCATGTAGCATTTTTCTTCCCTTTAACATTCCAAGAGTGGGATACACTACAACCCCTCTAGTCCAGCGTTGAGTATGCCATCAAATATATGTGTAGAGAGGAGGGTGAAATGAAAGAAAAGAATGCTCCCTTGGAATGTATTTGGAGCTACATTCATTGTAAGGTTCTTGAGAACGGATTCAGTAATGTTTCAGTGTGTTATCATAAACCCTTTGCTCGATCTTCCTACATTTCCCCCTTTCAAAAGTTAAGCACAGGATTCCCAGAGACCCCTTGTAATGTTAGGGATGTTGTCACTGGTTGGCTTAAATTCTGAGTGTTTTTCTGTCTCCTTGCTTACACACTCTTTAATGATTAAGGCGATGTTAAGTTAAATATGCTGCTTGCCATGGTCCCCTTAATTTTGTGAACTGTTGTCTGAGGATGACAGGGAAGAAAAACTGAGCACCACAAACCAAGTAAACAGCATCTAAACAACAAAGTCGGATGTGGGACATTTCTTCTCCCAGCGTGTTTCTCTTTCCCACTCAGACAAAAATACCAGGATTTATCTTTCAAAAGAAGTGACTTAAGTCAAACATCCCAATAAACAGCAAAAATAAAAAGTTCCCTTTACCTTTTGACTTGCTTCAAGATTTCACTGTGGACGCTGGAGCTGAGTTATACTCCTACACACAGTATAGAATTGCACACACAGAAACACACACATGCTTAAAGCGGAAGGTGCAAAGCATACTTTATTTCAAAGAGCAACCAAAATACATTCAACTTCAAGGGAAGACTTTTAAGTTTTACATTCTGTATGTGGGCCACCTGTCTACTTTATTTGGGGTGAGAAAAATTATCTTGAAATTTTGAATGCTGGCTTTAGATATGTGCTGAAACACCCAAAATAAGAACAAGGAATTAGAATATCCTGCCGGAGCTGGTTCTGTTCATTCATTTCATGTACATTTCTGTGTACTCTGCTTCAAAGAACGTTGGCTCTTTGAAGACCCTACTTCCTGTGTTGAGCAAAGTTTAAGTTTTTCTACAAAAAAAAAAGATCTTTACCCATGTTTTAAATTTCTGCATAATTAAGCCACCATCGAACCCATCTGTCTGTAGGTGCTTGGAGAACAGAACGGGAATCTTTATAAGTCTGTTCCCTAATGAAAGACCCAGTCTTCATGACCTTCAAAGAGAAAAAATGACAGATCATACATGAGTGATTTTTTTTTACCCCCATTATAAGTGCTGATAAACACACCTTTGAAAGATAGCCATCATTAAAAGTGGGTTTGTAAGTATACTATTATTTAGAATTTTTTGGAAAAGATTGATGCCTCTTCTACTTGTAACTCACAAAATTATAGATATCTTAAAATTGAAAGATTTTCAAGGTTCTATGTTTCTCTAAAGTTACTGTCAATCTTTCACATGAGTTCTACCCACCCTAACATCCCACAAAACAGGCCTGAGGGCTGAGCAGGAAATGTATTTACTACTGTAGGCAGCCCTGCCCCCACCACCACAAATGTGGCTTTCACTATTTCAATTTGTAGGGCAGATAAACCTGTTGTGAGAAACAGAATTAAAATTAGGTCTGCTTGCTAACTTTTTTTTTTTCAGAGCTTCTTTGAAGGTCAGTCAGCATCTTGGGATGTAGCTAAAAAAGATCAAAACCGAGCAAAAAACCGATATGGAAACATTATCGCATGTAAGTTCCCTCAGAATTCCTGGTACATGGAAACATTGCATGTGTAAAATGTACAGTGAGTCACAGTTTATATGGTTTTGAGTTTAGAGAACCCAAGTTGTGGCACGCTGGTCTGTTAACTGATCTATAGGATATAAAAAAAAATGTTAGCTGACTCTGAAATTGCCATCACCCTCACCAAATTCAATCTCACCCTTTGAGAAACTTGTTGCTTTAAGTTTTTGTATAAATCCATGGGGATTGTTATCAACTGTCTAAGAATACTGGGGTAATGCAAAACTTCTTTTTCACTTTTGGACTGGTGTAACACTCATGCTGGGCCTAGTTGAGGTTCCTGAGGGTATTTCTTCCACGTGCCCTTCTGCCTTGACACCCCAGTAACCGCGAGTCATTAATCGCTCAGAATATCCGTTCAGATGATGTCTTCATGAGAAGGACATGCAAAAAGCCAAGTCATCACTAGGGGCAAGCTTGGGAGTATTGAGGAGAGCAGATGGTCTGACTGTTAATTACCTGCTGATTTCCTTAAGCCAGTCTACTCTGGTTTAAATAATTTTAAACTACGTAAAATACATTCAGACGTAACCTGTCTCTCAAGGAATAAAGGAAAAATAGATTCAGAATTCACAGTCTAGTTATATGGCTTATTCTGCCATAAAATCCAGAGGAAAAGGAATTCCTCCAGCTAAAAAGCATTCTTGAGAAACAAAATTAGAAGCCACACAAGTCCTGTAGTCAAGTCCAAGGCTCAAATGAAGAGCCAGCCAGACCGTGCCAGGCTGCCTACAAGCTTCCTAATCTGAAAGGCAAACTAATTGAATGTCTGTTCATATGTAACTGGTCTAAGTAGTGAGCTCCATATAGTTCTGGCTTTTCTCCCAAAGGACTGATTTGATAATAATACAAAGTATTGCAAGTGTGGATTATACAGACCGAATTTGTCCTTTAGTTTTTACCACTGACATTGTCTCAAACCGAGGAATTTGAACAGCTTGCATTTGATTATTTAAACCTTCCAGATGATCACTCCAGAGTCATTCTGCAACCTGTGGAGGACGATCCTTCTTCAGACTATATTAATGCCAACTACATCGATGTAAGTGTCCTTCCAGGGTGTTTCCCTAGGGTGCCCACTGTATCAGCTCCTGTCTGGGAGCTCGATGCCTGTTATTACCTGTGACTTGATTGCTAGCTTTAAAGTAAAGAACAAACTGTACACTTTTCCTTGTTCTACATCCTAGTACTTACTGACGCTGTTGTGCTTTCTTTCACACCTGACTTTGGTTTGGGCTGTAGATTTGGCTGTACAGGGATGTAAGTACCACTATATGTACATAACAGCACCCTATGATAAATATTTACTATAAAAACCTTTAATCACAGTTACTACTAATGCTTAGTCTAGTTGTTTCTGCATGCATCACCTAATTAGTCTCATACAGAATATTTGTGTTTCATTTTTTTTTAATTATTTTACGTTGTGTAAAGAGCTATTTGACCTCCTTCCCCTTTCTTGTGTAGCAAAACAGGGCTATTTCTGGCTTCAGCAATTTATTATGCATTTGAATTTTATTTGTTGATGATTTCTGTCTCTGGCTTTTATTCTTACCCTTCCCAAGCATATGTGAGAAGCTGGATAGTATGATGTGTATTAGTGGTTTTGAAATTTCATTTTTTTATATTGGTTTTTGATACTAAAAGATAAGAATGGGGCCAGGGATGTGACTCAGTTGGTAAAATGCTTGCTAAGCATTCAGGAAGCCCTGAGCTCAGTACCAAATACTGCATAAACCAGGCATGGTGGCTCATGCCTGTAATCCCAGCACTTGGGAGGTGGAGGCAGAAGGATCAGAAGTGCGAAGGCATCCAGAAATACATAATGAATTCAAGGCCAGTTTGGGCTAAATAAAACCCTATATCAAAAATATAAAAAAATGCAATAGTAGGAAGACTATTTTGTGGTGTGTGATATTGGTTTGTAAAGTTAAAATTCTTAGGGAAAATATGATTTCTATATTATATTTGAAACATATGTATCACACATATATATATCGAATCATACCACTAAAGTCTGCTTTCATTACATATTGCACTGTAAATTTGGTTTTACATATGGACAGGGAAATTCTTTATGTAAGTGAAAGTAATTATCAAATACAATAAAACTTATTGCCAAGAAGTAATATATTGTAGTATATGTAAGGTCTGGCTCTTTGACTCTACTACCTGGTTTAAAATCACACTAGAGGGTCTAGAGAGATGGGGGCATCAGCATTTAAAAACATTTGCTCTTATTGCAAATGACCCAGCTATGGTTCCCAGCACCCACGTGGAGTTCACAACCGTCTGTGACTCCAGTTCTGGACTATCTTACATCCTCTAAGGGCCTCATTGAATACCAAGACATTCATGGTGCGTGTACATTTATTCAGGCAAACACTCACATAAATAAAATAAAAAGCATGGATAACAAAATCATGGAGAGCTTGGGGGTGTGATTTGCTTCAGTTTCCTCATCTGCATATTGAGATCCTGATAGTTTGAGGCCCATCCGTTTGCTGTGGAAATGTAATGAAGTAATGCAGATAGCGCCTTTAGTGCAGTGACTACCGTGCATTTAGCACTTGCCAGATTTCGGCTATTAATAATTAAAAACCCAAGCTCGACATGAATTGAATCATAGCATGCATATTTGAAGTCAATGTAGAATATAGTATCGCAGCATATACATACTATCAGCCTTCATATAAAGATGCCATGTAAAGCCCACCTCTACTAAATTCTGCAAATAAGATATTTGCCACCCCTATAGACTTCATGTTTTACAGTTATTTCAACAACTATCATCAATCGATTTCATGTATTGAGAATAGTCTATAAGTGTTAATTTTTCATCATAATTTTATTTTCATAACATTTTTAAGTTTTGTCAGACATGTTCTCTAGATTAAAAGTCACCAGAATTTCTCTTACAACTTTGTTATTGTTCTTAGCTATTTAGTTCAACCTGGGTTTTCTGCCATGATGGATATATAGTAGATCCTTGCTATAATACTATTTTATGGTTCATTGGGTAGGACTTTATTCTAAATGAGATTTGTTATACAACTCTGTTAAGATCCCAGTATATTTTGGCTAAATACAGTGCAATCTTATAATTTCCCTTTCTTGTTTGTTTGTTATACACAAAATACATCTGCATTTGGTAGATCTCATTTAAAACAGAGCATGAAATGCTTATGAAAAAACATGATGCTGTATCAACTTACTCAGAAATCAAAGTCAACTGGGCGTGATGATGCTCGCCTTTAATTCCAGCACCTCCAAGTCTGAGGCAGGTGGATTTCTGTGAGTTAGAGGCCAGCCTGCTATATAGTGAATTCCAGGCCAGCCAGGGTTAGAAAGAACCTGTCTGAAAATATTAATAATAATAATAATTTTAATTTTCAGTATTTCCACAGTGTGGTACACACTGTGTTCCTTCTTAGATCAGAGACTGTCTTTTACATTTCATTGTGTATGTTTAGAGCTGACCATACCAAATATGGACACATCTTAACAGATTCTTACTATAGCCTTAGTGAAAGCAAGCAAATTTACAACTTAACCCTATCATGCCATTAGTATTTTTCAACACATCTCTGGCAAGTTGACCCATTGGGAGCACCTAACACACAAATCATTCTTTATCAGGAAGAACCCATGGAAACAATATATTAAATGTTTATGCACAGCATGTGTACACTGAAAAGTAAGCACTAAAATTTTTGTTCAAGAAAAAGTGCAGTTTTAAATGTTTTTCCCTATATATGTGTGTGTAAATTTCATTATCAGTACACACAAAATAGTGCCTACAGATTCCTGAACATGTTACAGAACGAATAAAAATTAATTTCAGCAGGAATTTGATTTGAGCACACATGCATTGTCCAGCTCTAACATTGGAATGATCTGTTTCTTTTCTTTCTTTCTTTTTTTTTTTTCTGGTTTTAATATGTCCTTGTCCATTTGTAATGCAGTGTGTTGTACTTTTGGATGATACAATAAGACTTAATGTTTTTAAGCAGAATCTTACCAAGAATGAGTGATTTAAAATTTATATGAAGGCATAAACATTTCAGTAAAACTGAACTCCACCTCTGAGGTTATTCGGTGACAAACAAAATTCAATTATATGATTTAAATTCTAATCAGAGCCCTCAATATAATTAAGCCTTGTTTTCTGTTTCCTTTTACATAACGTAGGTTTGAGAAGTGAACTCTGTGTTCGCTACTCAGTCTGGTCTTTTTATTGCAATCTAATTTTGACAAGTGGTTGTCTTCCCCTTTTTTATGCCTTCATTTATTTATTTCTGACAGCTATTTAAAATGATAACCAATTTGCTTTCCTACTTTAGGGCTACCAGAGACCAAGCCACTACATTGCAACTCAAGGTAAAACTTTGTCTGTTAAATACTGTATTTATAATTATTTATATGAATATTATATTTATCTTTCTTATTATCCAGTAGGGAATTTTATTTTGTAATTTTATCTTTTGAAAAATTTGGCTCTTCCTAAATTGTGTAGTATAAATACTTCTTCATAATTTAGAAAAACTTGATTTTGAATCTTTTTTAAACTAAAATCCTCTGGTTATGTCTGTGATTTGGTCTTTGATGGTCAGATATCTTAGCACAGTATCAGTAGTGCTGGGAAGAGGAACTACTTATTTTTGACGAATAGGAAGTGAGTTGTTCTCCGTGCCTTGGGTGACTGTCATCTTGCAGCCAATTCTGTCAGTCTGCAAAGCAGTAAGACACAGACCAATAATTATGATGAGATATACTGTCATCTGGTAATTTTTGACAAATCAAGACTGAATAAAACATAGACCTAAGGGAATGTATAAAGTCTTTTTATTATGGAAAATAAAAATGAAGAAGGTTGATCATATCATGGTGCCCTAGAAAACGAAAGTATCGAAACAAGCACACAAATCTGTAATCTCCTCAAAATGTCTCCTGGCCATCCAAAGAAGACCGAGCATGACCAAAGCCATGTTTATTCTTTTACTGGGTTTTTGTTGTGTTTAGCTTTGCTTTGCTTATCTCTTCCTTCAGTGTTGATTACATAGCCCAGGGCCTTGTGCCAGCTAGGCCAATGCTACCAGGGAGTTAAATCTATTTCCTGAAATTTGCTCTTTTAGCTGAGGTCATTTTGTCCAGATTTTCCCTTTTTTTTTTTCATCACTGGGTTTAATTGAATAAGTATTCTTTACAGTTGGAGATATGCACTATTGTGCTGACCCATACACCAGTTTTGTGGTTCTGAGTGAATGACAGCCCAGCACATGCCTTTGCAGTTAGATAATCATGCAGAATAATAGTAGTAATAATAATGGGAGGTAAGGACATGGCATTTAATTTTACTCATGCACTCTTCATAAATGATGGCCATTTATTTAATTTAGCAATATCAGCTGCTCCTCTTCCAAGTGTCCAGAAAGTTTGTTCTGTATCCACATACATATACATGGACAGTGGAATGCTATAGGGACAGATATAAACACCCTAGAAAGTAGTGGTACCTTCTTATGGATTGCTAAGTACAGAAGAAAACTGAAGAAAAGCGTGTTCATGCTACGATGTTTCATGTATTATATATTCTGGTATGAACTGAAATTAAATGGATCTGGTTCTCATGATGCTCTGAATTAGAGTTTTGCCTTTTTTTAGCTTGTATCACATAACCGTACCTTTCATATTAAATAAACTTTTTATTAACTATGTTTCTGATAACACAATCTGAAAAATAATTTGTTTATAGGCCCAGTTCATGAGACCGTCTATGATTTCTGGAGGATGGTGTGGCAAGAACAGTCTGCCTGTATCGTGATGGTGACTAATTTAGTGGAGGTTGGCCGGGTAAGAGGAAACTATGTTAATTTTCTTTTTTTTTCTTTTTACTTTTATGGGTATTCTTGAAAAGCAATAATCAACTCACTTAGAGAATACTATCCAGCAGTTTAAGAATACTTCATATGACAGTCCACACCAGTCTGAAGGACAGGTTGGTGACAATTCCGGTTGCCATCAGATAACCTTTATCCAGTAACTGAAGGAAACAGGTGCAGAGACCCACACACAGCCAAGCATTGGGTCGTGCTAGAAGGACATCACCGGGAAACCCACAGAAGCAGCAATCTGGGCTCATAGGAGCTCATAGAGTCTAGACCAACAGCCAAGAATCGTGCATAGAACAGACCTAGCCCTCTACATCCATGACAGTTGTATAGCTTGGTCTGCTTTTGGGAACCCTAGCTGTGGGGGCACTGTCACTAATGCTTTGGCTGGCTTTTGGTAACCTGTTCCTCATACTGGGTTGCCTTACCCAGACATAATACAAGGTGAGGAGCTTAGCCCCTCCTCCACTTGATGTGCCAAGCTTTGTTGACACCCATGAAAGGCCTGCTTTTCACTATACAAAAACAGCAGAGCAATGGATTGGGGGAAGAGGGTCTGAGGGGAAGGGAGGAAAAAGAATGAGAGGGAAGAAGAGAGGGGAAATTGAGGTTTGGATGTAAAAATAAATGAATAAATTTAAGTAATGAAAAAGAATATTTCATACTCAGAACATTTCACTTGAATGCTCCTAAGTGAACATTCAATGAATGAAAAATATTTGGTGTATCATTGGGTAATAAAATAACATTTAATTTTTCAAAGATAATTTTTGGAAACTTTGTTCATGACCACTCCCCTGCCTCCTCCAATTCCTTCCTCATTTCCTGCCCCCATATTCACAATCTCTTCTTTATTGTTCTTGTTACATTTTTATACAGCCTATTCTGTCCATATAGTATTGCGTATATATGCATATATGCAGAGTAGGGCTGGCTACTTGGGACTAGACCACTTATGAAGGAATGCCTGGAGGAAGTGATACAAGCTTGAATTGTGTACTGAAATATAGCTTAGCTATTAGACGTAAAAGTCTTTGAAAGCACACAGTCTGTTTATTGTGTAATGTGTTCTCAGCTGTGTTCGAATTGTGGCCTAAATGTATCATCTTGGCTACTGTGTATGTGTTCAGATAACTCTATACCTATGCATTCTTCTCATCGTTAGGTGAAATGCTATAAATATTGGCCTGATGATACCGAGGTTTATGGTGACTTCAAAGTGACCTGTGTAGAAATGGAACCCCTTGCTGAATACGTCGTTAGGACATTCACCTTGGAAAGGGTAAGTGTTAAAAAGCTTATATTGAAAATATGAATACTGCAGTTTTTTAAAAAAATAACACTTCCAAGTTTTTGTTTTAATTACTAAGAAGTCCATCCACCCATCCATCCATTAGCTTACAAATTCATTTTGTTTTGTTTTGCTTTGTTTTGTTTGGAGGGGATGTTGTTGTTTGGGGTTTTGTTGTTGTTGCTGGTGTTTGTTTCAGCTTTTCTCATGGAAGTGTCTTGCTACATAGCTCTGCATATCCTGGAACTCACTATGTAGACCAGGCTGGCCTCAGACTCACAGAGATTTGCCTGCCTCTGCCTTTCAAGTGCTAAGATTAAAGGCATATGCCGCTAATCCTAGCAAGCTACAAATTCTTATTTGAGAGCTGAGCCTTGGGACATATATTAAAATCCCTACTCTTGAGTCCTCACCTGAAGGGAAAGATATAAAAACTGTAGACAAGAGATTATGTTATATAGCTGCAGAGCACTGTATAAAGTAGCCTTTGGGAATTGATATAGGAAATATTACTGAGGTAGAAGAGGAAATATTTGACAAAACTAAAGGGGTTATGGGGAAGAAAACATTTAAAATGGCATGCGGACCTGATGGAAGGGAGGGCAAGAGATTATGTTGGGGGAAGGTTTTCCTGCAAGAACAGAGTCATGCCATGGCCCTAAGCCTTAGTTTTTTCCTGTTCTGGGAAGTGACTCATGGATAAGATGTCAGAGATATGTAATTAATGGTAAAGGAAATATGGAAGACAAGAATCATGGAGCCAGATGTTCGGGCCTAGTTGGCACCCATGTGATTTTAGCATGTGAGTTAGGTGGCCATTGGAGGGCTCTGAAGCTGAATACATCAAAACTAATCATCAATGTTTAGTTTTATTTTCATTAATTGAAGTTTTCCTTGGTATTTTCATAGTATAAAATGCATTCTAAATTACTCTCCCCACCTCTGTCAGTTCTATCTCCTTTTCATATACTCATAAATTTTACTAGTGTTGTGACCTGCTGCATTTAAGGTGAAGTACTAAAGAAGTGAGAAACGGAGAGCGCTTTTAAAAGAGGCATAGGCACAGAGCCATGGATGCTGCAGAAGTGCTTAACAGATAGTAAAACACACAAACATGTAAACAAAGGTGCATGCAAACCTATGAATATCAGTAAGATCAATTTGCAGTGGTAATGCAAATGAGACACTGAAATCTCTGAAGACAGGCAGCTACAAAACTGCCTATGGAGAATGTTCAATGAATATGAATAAACCACTTTGTACTTCCAAATGAGCAAGAAATTTTACAAAGAATAATAATCCTCATTGATTGTGTGTGATCACTTAGGTCCTGCATTCATTAGTGATCGAGTTAAAATACCTTGGGTCTCTAAAAATCAGTATAGCAGTTTATCTGTAGAATTTCTTAAACATCTTAAAATCTAGACATTTGAATCATTTACCTATCTTATGTCTATCCTTAGGAAGTTATTTATGTGTAATATCTTCATTTGTATTTTTGGAAAATTCTAGATAGCTGTAAACATGGAGTAGTAGAGAAATAGTCAAATCATCATATACACAAAATATTACAAAATTAAAAACTCATAAAAATAACAGTAGCATAAAGGCAAGTTATATATTAAGGAGGAACGCCAACTAGGGAAAATACATTTAAAGTCAGGTTGCTTAAAACAATCAATAAAATACCTAAATCACTCATTCTAAATGAGACGCAGTGAAAAATTTCAAACATTGTGTAAAGTGCACCTTACTGGAAAGCATGGAGAATAGGTAACTAGAATTACATCTACTATCAGAAAAGTTACTCGTAAAGTCATGCATAAACTTTGATACATGGTCATGCATTTTGGTCCAGACACACCAATTGTCCAGCAAATTTTATTTCTCAAAAACTGGCTCAAAAAATAATGGTGAGCAGATGGGAGGGGAAAGGGAAAAAGAATTGTTAAATTTACCATTGAAATGGAACTGTGGTTTTGCAGTTGAGATTTTTTTCTTTTATCCTTTGAAAGAATGTGCTTGTCCGTTCTTTTTGCCAGAGAAGATAATTAAAATTAACAAAGTATATTTGGTTAATATCAGATGTCATAAAATGAGATGTGAATGACTAGGCAACGTGTGTCCCAGACTGGGATGTGTGACATTAATGTCACCTCACAGGTTTAACTCCATTCCAAACAGAATGCCACTAGAGTCTGAGCTTTCTACTTTCTGTTATGGATAATATAAAATAGTGGTTTTGGAAGTAGCACACACGTTTGGTCATTTGTCAGAAATTCTATGTATGTATGTATGTATTTGACAGTACTTGGGGTTGAACCCATGACTTGTGCACATCAAGCAAGTGCTCTTCTGCTGAGCTACATCCCCAGCTACACAGCGGTTTTTAAATTAAAGAATTCCTGGTGAGATGTTACTGCCAGATAGGAAAAATTATTTTTTTAAAATTCAGTCTTTGGCTTGTCACCAGAGAAGAAAGAGAGTGCAGCCCGTGGAACCACTCTGGCAAAGTAGTTTAATATGGAGGATGTGAAAAGTAGCAAAAAAAGAAGGTGATTTTCCCATGTTTGTGATTTCAGGATGACTTTTGTCAGGTTATTTGTAGATCCCTTCTTTGTGTAGCGTAGTGTGCTAGGAATTAATATTGGAAAGAATTATTAGGCATAATTCCTAACTCCTGAGGTTTTGATAACTCTGGTTTCTGTAAGACAGGCTATGAAGATAAACTGCCATTCTCAAATTGATTTATTTAGTTCATATGTTTTTGCTTTTCCTGATTGAACAAGTAAGATTAATATCTTCACTGGTAGTGCACACTAAAGTTAGATTGATATAGATTTTTTTCTTTTGTAGGAATACAGATTCTTAAAAATGAATTTTTCAGTATTTTATTTACAGTGTCGATGCTTCCTCAAACCTCTGGTTTCTCCTATGAAACGGGAGAGGGTTTTGTAGAAACCTTTATGAGGTTTTCTTCGATTAACCTGGAAGGAGAGAGAAAGAGCAGCGGACGCTTCAGTTCTTTTATTGTGTTGTTACTAGAGACGATGCTTGGTGGGCCAAATTATTTCACAGAGCTGAGAAAAGATCATTTACCCAGAGAACAGTTAAGCTGCGTGTGTATTTTCACAGACCAATCTAGTGTGGCAGTGTCCTGGAAAATCCCTACAAACCATGCTTCAAAACCATTTTCAACATGGATAAGCAAGGTATTGAAATCTCCACTTGAGAACTCAGTGCCCCACATCAGAGGGAGCTTTTCCATTTCTTCCTTGTCCCCCCAATAATTTCATGTGGTGTCATTCCCAGTAAGAAGCAAGCTGGCAAGGCAAATAAAAATTTACCCAGGGAAGCAAACAGAACTAAGTTCCTTTCCTGGCAGTTCTGTGGTGATAAAGGTTAAGTCCCAAGCCGTGTTAAACCAGTACCCTTTAAAAAAAATAAGTAAAATAAAACTTTGGTAAATGTTGTTTTCATGGTCACTCAAATTGAGTGAATTTGATGACTTTCTCTGGATCCTTTCTAAGGCTGTGTTTTCTAACTTTGCACAGAGGGGCTATAACGAAATCCGTGAAGTCAAACAGTTCCACTTCACTGGCTGGCCTGACCATGGTGTTCCATACCACGCCACGGGGCTTCTCTCCTTCATTAGGAGAGTCAAGCTGTCCAACCCTCCTAGTGCTGGGCCCATCGTTGTGCACTGCAGGTGAGTGATGCTCCCAGCTTCAAGTGACCATCCAGACAGGGCTCGCCAGCCTGAGAGCTCGATGTTGCTGACAAGGCTTGTGTTTGCCTGTACTACACTTAATGGGAAGCAGAAATAAAAACTGGCCTCGAGTAGGACATAAGCCAGGAACACAGCCATCCCGGTACAGTGTTGTTCTCGGGTCCAAGTGTGGAGAGTGCCTCTTAGTGGCTACGCCTGTGTTGGCCAGTTTTATCACTTTTGAAAATCCCATACTGGAAAGAATGGTAAGTTAGAATAGAGATCTTTTTTTTTTTTCCAGTCCACTTAATTCTCACTAGAATCCCAGCTTTTAAAGCTGAATTTGAGATTACTAAATGGCCTAAATTGCAAGAATTGGGCCTATAAAACAGGTGTGTAACTTTAAAAACCAACAAACAAATCAGTATCCATCAGAGGACCTTAAAAGGCACATTGCTGCGAATCAGCAAATAATTGCCAAAGACATGAATATTAAATCCAGATTTGTTCTGATTAAAAACTTCTTTGAGGGCAAAGAAAAAAAGAAGCAATCCAAGGCACGAAAGCAAGCTGCATGGCTCATTTTGAAATAGGGCCAGGAGAACAAGGACAGATTCTAAGAAGCTGCTCTGAAGGCTGCACACCGTTCTCAGATAGTACTCCTTCCTTCCCAACCGCTTCCCACGTTGAACTTCAGCACCCTTTTTTCTTTCCTTTTGTAAAATCCAAACAATTCAGAATTGCAATGACCTTTTAAAAAAGAAAGAAAGAAAATAAACAAAGGTAAGGGATGCTGCATCTCATAAGGATCAGACTCGGAACATATCTAAAAGAGGAAAAACATCCTTTCAATCCTCCAGAAATCTGATGGACTCTTCAATTATTTCCCTGCCACAGACACTGGGAACAGTGATTGAGAAGCAGGATTGGGAGAAATCGTGATACCTGACTGTCTTTGGCTAACACACAAAAGAATAGCAAGTGTAAGCGAGATGACCACACTTGGCTAACAAAGAAATAATGCCAGGAGCGCAGTTGAATGTTTAGAAGTGGAATAAATAGGTTTGAATTCGGTGACTTTTTGATTCATTGTGGGGGTTTGTGTTTTCTTGAATTGCTTGCTTCGAAAGGGCTCTGGATTTTCCAGGTCCCAGAACCAGAGATGACATTTTCCTTTTCATGGTGTCATCTTTGTTATTTTGTCTTTTTTTTTTTTTCTGAAGCTGAGGACCAAACCCAGGTGTCATCTTTGTATGTAGAGAAATGAAGAAACTGGCTGGGTAGAGAATCCTTCACCCTCTCCCCCTGCCCCTCACCACCCCTCAGTGTTCTCTATTTTATTGCCGGTAATCTTTCCAAAGAGGAAAATCAGCATATTTTGATTCTGTTTGAAAGCATGTGATTCTGCTTTAGAAATGAAACAACAGAGAGGCTATCAGGTTAGTGTTGGCTCAGTAGTTAGGAGCACTGGCTGCTCTTGCAGAGCACTCGGTTTCAATTCTCAAAAGCCATGTGTGGCAGATCACAACTGTCTGTAACTCCAGTCCCAGAAGTCCCACGCCCTCTTCTCATGTCCACAGGCATCAGGCATGCACATGGTAAACATACATACAGGCAAAACATTTACACAGTGAAAATACTGAAGTAAGTATGTAGGATAAATTTTTAAAGGGTGGCTAGCACCATGACCAGAGCGAGATCACACTCTAGTTCACAGAACAACTTCAGCTTCCCTTCGGATAGTATTAAATATTCTTTCTCTTTGGGGACTTTCTCCTCTCTGGTAGTATCCCTCTCTCCTCCAGCCATTTCCTTTGGCATTTCCTGTGAACTGTGGCTCCTCTTAGTTCCCATCGGAAGGTTCTAGGACCAGTGGCCTTGGTGTTTACATGAGTGGAGATAGGTCAGGCAGACCTGCTGCTGCTGGATAAATACAAGAGTGTGAAGGAAACTCAATGTGGAGCTAAATTTTGAAGCTTGATGCCTATACTGTTTCAGTCCCATGAGTGTGAAGTTATAAAATAATATAAAATTAACACATTTAAATTCGCATGAAATGAAGACCGTGTGATAGAGATGTGCAGCTTGAAAAATATGTATACATTATGTTCATGTGGAAATAATTTGCAACTCTCGTTCTGACCTAAGTACACCATGCCAAATCAGACATTACACACACAGTCATTTTTATGCATTAGTATGTTTTTGGGTGGCATATAAAATTATGTGTTTGCTTTCTCTTAAGTCAATTTGACTTCATGTAGCTCAAGGTAGACTAGAGACTGAAGCTTACGAAAAGAAACATGCTTCTCATACTTTTCTCATTTTCTCAGTGCTGGTGCTGGGCGCACGGGATGCTACATTGTGATTGACATCATGCTGGACATGGCTGAAAGAGAGGGTGTGGTTGACATCTACAACTGTGTCAAAGCCTTACGATCACGCCGCATCAATATGGTTCAGACAGAGGTAGATGGTCTCATTCTTAGTCTGTCTTTATTTTCCTTTTGTTCCCACCATTTACCAAATGAAATTTACTGTATTTCTTACAATGTAATCAATATTGACTCATCAAATCATAGAGTAACCGATATCTTCAATAATAGTGCCCTTTCGGTATATTCTCTATCTCCTGTAAACTAAGCATTGCTAAACTAGTATGAAATTGTCTCTTTTTTTTTTCTTTTGATAGGAGCAGTACATTTTTATTCATGATGCCATTTTAGAAGCTTGCTTATGTGGAGAGACTGCCATCCCTGTCTGTGAATTTAAAGCTGCATATTTTGATATGATTAGAATAGACTCGCAAACTAACTCCTCCCATCTCAAAGATGAATTTCAGGTATTGACTGTTTCTAAGGTTTCTATTAAAACTTTTCCAGTTTGTCCTGGGCACTAATAACTCTTTTAGAAAAGGTTTTTCAGGTCAAATATAAAACCTTTGACCCTTCTGCAATGATAATATGACATTTTTGTCTTTCATTATGTATGTTATGGATTCATTTGCACTGATATCTGCTATATCCTGAAGGGCAAATGAATTCATATTCTGAAAAGGGTATGAGAAAAAGATATTATAACAGTCAAATCTGGTTATGATTTTTGTGTTTATAACTTCTTTCTTTCCTCCATACAGCCTTATTATTTTGGCCTTTAATGGCATGCTCAATGTGAGATCAGCATATTAATAATAATGGCTGAGATTTGCACTAACCATTGTCTTAGCTCCAGTGTATTCACTGCTTTTATACAACCTTCAACATGGAAGAAAATGAGTTCACATGTAGCCCTGGGAAACTGCTCCTTAGATTCTTGGTGTAGTGTTCTGGCATGACAAAATGTGATTGCAGATGGTCGCTTTCCATTTGAAGCCCATCATTACCTTCGTGGATGGCCCTTGTATTTTCTTTGTCTGGGCAGTGTGTTTTGTAGATAGCTGTGTAGTTTAGCTGTTCTTTCCTTTTGAGAAGAGACACATGAATAAAATGTGTCCCATGACTGCCTCCCTTCACAGGCTTTGTTCGCTTAACTAAAAAGTCCATCAGCCCATCATAGAGGCAACTGCTGTTGTTTTTCACAAACCCTTCACCTTCCACTTGGCTTCCCAAATACTTGGTGGGTCTGCGCTATGCTATCCAGTGGATCTCTGTTTTATAACGTGGATTCCCTTTTCTTTTCAGACTCTGAATTCTGTTACCCCTCGACTCCAAGCTGAAGACTGCAGCATCGCCTGCCTGCCAAGGAACCATGACAAGAATCGTTTCATGGACATGCTTCCACCTGACAGATGTCTGCCTTTTTTAATTACAATCGACGGGGAGAGCAGTAACTACATCAATGCTGCTCTTATGGATGTAAGAGACTGACTCTTTGTTAGTAGAAAGTGCCCTGAGAATCTCCATAACTCAGCTGAACACTGGCTACTTTTCATTTCTTGGAATTATAAAATGGGCTAGAATGGAAAATTGGAAACTGTCAGTAAAATATGAATTGTTTTGAAAAGGATTTGAGGTTGCACCTCCAGAGACTCTTGGCAAATCTAATTTTTAAAGGTGTAGTGTCGATTTGAAGTTTGATAGTTGTATTATCCTATAGAAATCTATGAGTTATATTTTTCACCTTAATTATTTTGAGAAACGAGATTAATACCATACCTTTTTTGAGTAGTGGGAATGCATTTTAATATCACAGAATGCCATATCCTACCAAAGTGTGGGGTTTTAATTTGAAAATATTTATGTATGACGCTCAGTGTTCTAAACATTTAAAGGTAACTAATTTTATTTAGTAAACTATTTAGAAATGACTAAGGAAGACATGGACAATATCATTTTAAGAAAAAAATCATCATCAGGAAAACACTTCCCCTTCAGCTGCTCTCACATGTCCTCTGTGGGCCACTTGCCCAGAAACAGAACAACAGGGAAAGGGATTTCAAATTGTGTCACCATTGATCTTACTTTGTTATCTTGGGAAGAAGCAAGAAAGTAGACAAGATTCAGTATCCTTAAGACAATTATCACCTTTATTTCTTTTTCATTTTGCCTCTGAAACGATAGCAAGGAAACTATCGGAGTCTTTCCCCTCCCTGAATATAGACAATTATCCCACACCACTTCCCCCTACCAAGCTTTGGGATTAAAGGTGTATGCTACCATACTCAACTGCTCTTTTTCTTTCTTTTTTTATTTTAAGGGTTTTAACCTTTTTCTTTTCTCTCCCAAGCCTGCATATATTTTTTAAACATTGTAAACTATTTAGAGGTTTTCTTTGACTTTGAATCTCTCTTTACTGTATCTCTCTCTCTTTTACTGACCACATGAGCCTTTAATTTGCTAAGCAATATGGAGAGGATTAAAGCCATGGCTTTGACAACTAGATCCAGCCCATTTCTTAGCTTTCTGAGATGCCAGCCTCCTGGCAGAGTTACCCGCTGGAGCCATGTTTATTGCCACAACTCTATGGCATTTCAAGGTCCTTGCCAACAAGCAAACTGCAAAAGTGTGTCCACAAACAACACTCAAATCCTTCCTAGTTGGACCGCCTGCCTGAAAGAATCAGAGTTTGCTCTAGTAGGACAGCCCAGAAAGCCGGCATTAAAACAGAGCAACGTTTTTCCTGCTATGGCTGAAAACCAAAAAGCATGCGGTCAGCTTTTCAACAACACCATTTAAGGGTTTTGTGACAGGACCTCTTAAAGATCTGCAAGGTTCTACAGCTAAAGCTGAGTCAGGAAGCCTCTCTTAAATGAGAGCGCTTGCTTGCCTCTAGCAAGCAGAGCAGACCTGAGAAATTGCTGCTACCAAGAAGCCATGCTTTATTCTATTTTTCCTGTCTAGAATTACTTCCTGAGCTCTTTCAGGCTTTATGTGGATACAGTTGTCCACATGTTGGGCAGCCATTTGTGACATGAGGGTCTGATTGTTGGGGTTTCTATCCTCCTCTGTGTTTGTCCTGTATTAACATTCCTGGTTGAAATAAAGCTGGAACTCAAATACTGTAGTGACATCAAACTCTATGTCATTCACTCATTCCGAGTTCCATTACATCCCAGTGGTGCCATGGCTTAGGAGCCACTGCGGCTTCATCTCTCTTGAGAGCTACTGCCACCTACTTGGTCCTGCAATGGAGTACATCGAATGTTTGTATAACTTGTTGTGCATTTTATTTATTTATTCATCAAGAATTTCATAAGTATGTACAATGAAAATATCATGCCACCCCCCCCTTTGCATTTTAAGTTCTTGCATTTTTCAACTCTCCTGCTTCTCCACAGAGCTACAGGCAGCCAGCAGCTTTCATCGTCACACAGTACCCGCTGCCGAACACTGTGAAAGATTTCTGGAGACTGGTGTATGATTATGGCTGTACCTCCATTGTGATGCTAAATGAAGTGGACTTGTCCCAGGTTGGTTTTGCGGTTCTGGATGCATCCTAACAGAACAGTAATAAATTCCATTTTCTACTGTGTAGAACTTTAAAACTAAACCAAACCTCTGCTCTTTCTTTCCCAAATGTTAATCGTGTAGGGCTGCCCTCAGTACTGGCCGGAAGAAGGGATGCTGCGATATGGCCCTATCCAAGTGGAGTGTATGTCTTGTTCAATGGACTGTGATGTGATCAATAGGATTTTTAGGATATGCAACCTAACTAGGGTAAGTCATACTCTGGGCATCCTAACTGACCTGCTTCAGAGCAAAGAGGTTGTGATTCTGATCGATCCTAATTCTATCCGGACAATAGGGGGAGAAGAATCAGTAAGCACCCACATGGTCCAGGCCAGAGTCACTGATCACCTTATATCTTAGTAACAGGACAAAAGGTATTCCAGATGCAGGAAATCTGAAATGCTGAAAGCTAGGTTCTCCGGCCAGTGAGTACAGTAACATGCTCGGTCTGAAAGGCCAGATTTAGATGCAGTCCTCTTTTTTTTAAAATATTTATTTATTTATTATGCATACAATATTTTGTCTGTGTGTATGCCTTCAGGCCAGAAGAGGGCACCAGACCCCATTACAGATGGTTGTGAGCCACCATGTGGTTGCTGGGAATTGAACTCAGGACCTCAAGGACTGCTGAGAAGTCAAGATCAATGACACTAGGTTTTGATCCTACTGCACCTACTGGCTTTGTAGGAGCCTAGGCAGTTTGGATGCTCACCTTACTAAACCTGGAAGGAGGTGGAAGGTCCTTGGACTTCCCACAAGGCAGGGAACCCGGACTGCTCTTTGGGCTGATGAGGGAGGGGGACTTGATTGGGGGAGGGGAGAGATATGGGAGGCAGTGGAGGGGAGGAGACAGAAATCTTTAATAAATAAATAAATAAAATTTTTTAAAAAAGAGCAGGCAATGCTCTTAACCTCTGAGCCATCTCTCCAGCCCCAGATGCAGTCTCTTAATCATCCTTTACAGTCTGGACCTGGCCCCAGAGTACCTGTGGACTTAGGTAGAGGATGAAATATTTCTTAATTATTAATATTGACCTCCAGCCTAGGAAAAAAGGAGCATACCAGTGAAAAGTAAAGATAATCATGGTAACCACAGAGAGGGGCAGGATAAAACAGGGCAGCCATCACAGGAGACTTGCATGTTACTATTTCAGGACCTGTGTGTAATGGGAAACCCAACCCTGAGGGAGAAGTCAGCCACATCTATTGCTAAATCTTCGCCCGCCTACTTGTTCTTCTCACCTACTTGTTCTGATGCCTGATGCTCTGAACATTGCAGCATCTGATTCTGCCCAGCTCCAAAGGAGGAATCATTGTTGCCTCTGCTGTGCCTTTTGCCAGCAGCTGAGTGGCAGTTGTATCCCACAGGGGTTTTTCTTTCCCTGATATGGTTTATACAGTAGCAACTCGGAAGGCCTTTTCCTAAAAACCAACCAACAATACACTAGTAAAACCATTTAGCAGCCGGGCGGTGGTGGCGCACGCCTTTAATCCCAGCACTCGGGAGGCAGAGGCAGGTGGATCTCTGTGAGTTCGAGGCCAGCCTGGTCTACAAGAGCTAGTTCCAGAACAGGAACCAAAAGCTACAGAGAAAAAAAAAAAAAAATTTAGCTTTCAACAAGATCGTAAACCGAATTTGAAAATAGTAACCTCCACAACACAATACGTTAAAGAGAAGAGACTGTCCTGTTTCAAAGTCATCAGTTCTGTTTAAGACTATGATTTTAAGTATGTGATCAGGGCTGTCATGTTTCTTATATCAAAATGACTATATGTGTGTCTTGTTAATTAGCCTATGTGAATATAACTAGGAACAGGGGATAAACTCATAACCAATTCTATCACTCATTTTAGTGGAGAAAAAAAGGAATGAATTCAACCATGTCATAATATTCGTGCATATCTTAGACTTTAATTTAAATGGAATCTCATTATGTCTGCACATCTGCTTCAATTTCTGTCTAGTCATATTTTAACTAAGCAACTGTAGCAGTTCAAGTGCAGAAGCAAAACTCATCTGTGAGTGGAGCTCTTTCTATAGAAAGTTTTCTAGCATGATTTGAAATCAGTTGAATTTTTTTCAGGAAATATATTGGTTTGGTTATTTCTGTGCATATATTATGTTCTGGTGCTTATTTATACCTGATGTTTTTATTCTTGGCATAATTATTTTGTATCACTCACTTCATTGTGAGTTTAGTATGCAAATGGGGAATGAGAGTAGATAGGGTTTTTGCCCTACGAAGAGGTGCATGAGTCCTTCCATGTGAAACTCACCATAGGATACCCTTTGAAATGGGTACTCAGTGTACTAGGTACTCTTCTCTGTATTTCCTACTCAGGGTCTTGGGTTTCTTTTACTCCAGCAGCACTGTTGTTTAGAAAGTACCTTGCAGAGTTCTCCCGATACCTAGCTTAAGGTGAAAGGAGAGTGTTCCTTGTCTTTAAGGAATCTACACGTTACCAGAGAAGGCTGGCATCGCACTACTTAATGTACAAGTGTCTCTTTACTGACATGATGTACATGTGTCAGAGGAGAAGTACAGAATATAAATTGTTTACCTGGACGATCAGGCATAGCATGACCAGAGAACTTCAGAAGAAAAGGGTATTCTGGAAAAACTTTGAAGAGTTAGTAGGTATTATTTGAGGGTGGGATAGCCAGAGGCAGAGAGCTTTCCCCAGGGTACGTTGGTTCTGTGCCCTCTTAGGAAAGTTCCCAGGCAAACCTGGGTCAAATTAACTTGTCTACTTGATAGTGAGAAGAGCGCTATAGTAAGACATTTTCAAAACGAACAGGGACATCCTCTTCAAAGGCTCCAAGGCAAGCAGTGGCAAAGGAGCTAAGGGAAGACAGAGTGTCTCCAAATGCAATGCTCTGTCAGTGGGAAAGGAGGTTGGGAGGCCAGGTGAACCAGATCATGAAAGGAGTTGGTCGCAGCAGATTGCTAAGAACATTAGGGAGCCATTGGTTTTAAGAGTGACAAGATTGTCTTTTAAACGTCAGCATAATCATAATGTGTGTACTAAGAGTGGATGGCAGGGAGATAGAAGGCGGTAAAGGTCATCACCAGGACATAGTATCACAACTTGTGTGGGTTGGGGCAATAAAGGGACAGTGGATTTTAAAGGCTTTAGGAGCAGGACTTGAGTGTGTTACTCAAGGTTTGGGGGTGAGGAAGACGCATCATCTTAGTTATTTTCCTTTTTTCCTGCGACAAAATCTCTAACAAGAAGCAAATTGGGTGAGATACATTTATTTCAGCCGACAGTTTGAGAGTTACAGTCGTCACAGCAAGGGTGATGGCAGCAAGACTCTACTGCTGGTGGTCACATCGCGCCCACAGTCTGGAAGCAGGCAGAGACGGCTGCCTGTGTTCAGCTTGCTTTCTTCCTTTGATGCAGTCCAGGACCCCACCTGTGGAATGCTACTGCCCACAGTCAGGGTGGCTCTTCCCACTTCAGTGATCCGAGTGTAGATAATTCTCCACAAGCATGCCCAAATATTTGTCTCCAAGGTGATTCTGGATCCTATGAAGTTAGTTGACAATTGATATAAGTCATCACAGGCAGATCAAAAAGACAAGTTTTTCTTGCACTTACGGCATGGAATGTTTCTGTCAAAGCACCTGAACGGTCATCAACTAGACTCCGTCCAGTATGCATTTCCCTCCGTATTCTCATCCTGATTCCCATGCAAATCCTTGCTTTCTCTCCAGCCCCAGGAAGGTTACCTGATGGTGCAACAGTTCCAGTACCTTGGCTGGGCTTCTCATCGGGAAGTGCCTGGCTCCAAACGTTCGTTTTTGAAACTGATACTGCAGGTGGAGAAATGGCAGGAGGAATGTGAGGAAGGGGAAGGCCGAACGATCATCCACTGCTTGTGAGTAGGGCAGAGCAGCATGCCCTGGCCGTGCGAGGGACCTTGGAGTTCATTTCTTCATTCGCCTTTGCTTTGCTTATGTGAAAAAGGCACTGTTCAAATCCTGTCAGACCTACCATAGGTCCTCTTCCAAAACAGAAATCTAGGCTCATAAATGAATAATTTACTACTAATTTTAGGGTTTTTTTGTTTTGTTTTGTTTTCTAACTATTAAGAATTAAATACTTGGAGTTAGAAAGATGGCTCAGTAGTTAAGAGCCCTGGCTACTTTTCCAGAGGACCTGGGTTCAATTCCCAGTACCCATTGGTGGCTCACTACCCTCTCTGACTCTAGTTCCTGGACATATTTGCCCTCTTCTGCCCTCCATGGGCACGGCATTCATGTGGTCCACAACACATGCACAAATAAAATAATGAAAATTAGGCAACTGTTACATGATTTAACTCTTTTAAACACCTATGCAAGCAACCTCTTTGATTCGTACAGTTGCAAATACGTTAGGATCTCAACATCTCTAAGTTTTAGAATTTATGTCCGTTATATACGCCTTCATCTAAGTTCCTGAGCTAACTTTATCCTCTAGTCCTTTCCTCTCCTCCCTTCGCATGTGCACAAATATAAATCAGAGTCCAAAGACATGGAAAAAATATTAAAGACGAATTTCCTTTCCCAGATGAATGTGATGATGTGACATGCGAGTCCCCCAAAGGTGCTCACACCGTATATGTGCTTTCAGGAATGGCGGTGGCCGCAGCGGCATGTTCTGCGCCATAGGCATTGTTGTTGAGATGGTGAAGCGGCAAAACGTGGTGGATGTTTTCCATGCAGTAAAGACCCTGCGAAACAGCAAGCCAAACATGGTGGAAGCCCCGGTGAGTCACACGGTCTTCGAAGGGTCTCAGTGACAACTTTGTCGTGGACCTACGTACTGGTTTGCCTTCACAGACACACAGAGGAAATTTGCTGGTATTTGTGCCTGATAGGTAGACTGTAGCGAATCTGCCTCCACTTATACAAACACATTGCTCATTACATGAACTGTTGAATAAAGGAAACACTCTCATTTAATTTGAGAAATGCGTAGGGCTTTTTCTCCTTATAGGCGGTAAATTGGTGGTACAGCAAACTTTTATAGTAGTTCTATAAGAATAAATCCTGCTAAAGTATAGTCCCTTTTCGCTTGTTAAAGCAGATTGAGTAGTATTTATGCTCACGGGCCACCTCAGCAATTTAGACACCTATTTTCCATTTATTCATTTACTCTACAGTTTATCTGACTTATTTTGGTGAATGTGTGTGTGCGTTGCTAGGTGTGGAACCAGGACCTCAAACATGCTAGGCAAGATATTCTACAATTAGCCTATACCCGCAGACCTGACGCCCAGTGTTTAGAAAGAAGAGCTGGAGTCTATTGCCGTCGGTGTCTGTAATCCTTCACTATCTAATACAGCTGTCCATTGCTGTCAGGTTGTCCTTGCTCACAGTTTTCAGCTTAATTTAGCATCTTTGAAGTACAGTCCCCACGGTGTGACGTGAGTTCTCCTGAGCTCATAAAGCTTGAGAAGTAGGGACTGATGGGGGATATGTGAAGAAGGTTTCCCCCGAGTGGAGCTGAATACCAAGTAGGAGGGAAAGTTGTTGCCTCTGCTGCATATCTTCCTTGGGGGTTACATGCTGGTACGGTAGGATCAGATGAAGAGCAGCTGTGGCACTCCCAGCACAGTAAACCAGAAACCCCAGAGCATCACTGTCGCTTGCCCTACTTTATCAAGATGATCAGATAGCACAAAGGAGAAGAAAAAGAAGCGATTCAGTAAGCTCGCCAGTGTGTTTTCACCACTTCCTGCTCTGGGCTGTTCACACAGGAGGTGCATTGCTTCCTGCGACAAACATCTAAAGACCCCGGTTTATGCTCTTTCACTTTGACAGATGGCAGCTTACTTATTCCTTTCTCAGGTCCTTTTTTGGGAGTCCACCTAGGACCAGATCGGGTTGCCCTCTCTGGGGTGCTGACGATTGAGAGGGACAAAGCGTATGGATTTGAGAGAGGATTTACATACAAAATGGCCAGGAAGTAGCTATGGCTCTAGTTTCACAGGTGTGTGACCTGTGCAATACACGCTGCCTGAAACATTTCAAATCCCACGGGGATGGCTGCTGCCTTCAGAAGTGACTTCTAGCTCCAAATTTATCGTTAATACACCATCCTTTCTTTAACTTGTTAGTCTGTAGTTGAACATTTGTTATCGAACCTTCCAGTGAGTTACTCTTTTCCTTTATCTTCATGCCCCACAAATCCTGACAGAATTGACAGACCACTCTGCTTACTAAAGCATGATTAGAAAAGTTTGCTAAGGATTTAGGCTGAGTTTGGTAAGGGAATTTCGAATTAAACAAAATCGAGAGGCTCTGGCTTGTTACAAGCTCTTGTTGAGGTTCCTTGGGCACCACACATCCCCCAGTAGGAGATAATGTAATGTAAAGTGTATTTACTTCGGTAGTTACAGTAAAAGAAATACCATACTTATGCTAGAGACTGGATAGTCTCTTTCGAAACAGGATTCATTTTAGATTCCACAGTTCAGCATGAACTTTGCCCCCTTGGACTGAGTTGGGAACTTTACAATGGTTTCCATGGTGTAAGTCATCATTTACATCATAGTCCATAGACTTTTGTAAGTTCTTGGTAATGGAGTAAGTACATGGCCAGACTCAAAGTCTAGTTTCAACTCAAATGGTGGGTTAACAAGCAAGTTGTACTATTAAGGGAGAGGTAGCAGCAATCAAGTTTTAGGCATAAATAAGCTTGAAGTTTTTTGAAACTTCCTAAAGTTTTTTAAAAATTTATTTAAGTGATACTCTGACAGAATATCAACTGTGGAAAAATGTAAAACACGAAATTACAAAAGGTTGTTTAAAGTAGGTTGTTCTCTCTAAATCTAAAGAGATGATTTGGGATGTGGAGGAAAGCGTTGGCACACCCCAGCAACAATATAAAACAAGAAAATAGTGAAGTCATCTAGCAACTAATCCGAGTGGTAGATCGTTGTGTAATATAAAAAGACTTGGAATTATGTGCCCTAAAGCTGTAAAACATAAAATCATCTTGCGATCTACGGTCATTTTATTTACTCTGGATAATTGTTGTTTCAATCATGTACTAACAACGACTAGGGTAAACCAAGGTGATTTTTAACAATTGCTCCTAATAGCAGCTCCTGTCCTGGTTCTTTACATTTTTGTAAGCTGCAAAAAATTCTGATAGGCCCAGCAATTTTAATCACACCAAAATTCTGGGTATTATACTAATTGATAGAAAATGCAGGACAAAAAACTAAAACACCTTTTTGTGTTGTTGTTCCTTTTTCTTAAGTAGGGATCATTAGCCTCAAGTATAAAATATGTATGCCCAGATGTTCCTGTTATGTACAGAACACGTAATTTGCCACTCTTAAATAATCTCAATTGGATGTCAAGAATTTACACAGATGCTATTATTCACTATTAGCCTCTTGCTAACTCTGTTCATCCCTTCTGTGCTAACATGTTGCAGGAGCAGTATCGTTTCTGCTATGACGTGGCTTTGGAGTACCTGGAGTCCTCGTAGTTTGGTGATGCTGTTTGCAGAGCACCCCAGCAGAGACCCATTCACCTGCTGAGCCAGCAGCCGTTGTACCTGTTACACCTGCACAGAGAGATTTTAATGTGGGGGGCGGGAGGCTTTTACATTGGAGAGGCAACCGTATTTTTCTTATGAAGTTGTGTATCTTAATAAAAAGGACTTGATCCGTTTCTATGACTGTACGAGAGCATCCACATTTTGTGCCACCCAAATCATCTTTACGAAGAGGCGGAGTCCGATGAGGGATGATCTGGGCTGTCCGGGGAACACGCAGCCTGTTCTCTTCTGCTTTCAGGAGAGCAGCTTCCACACATTGCATGCACTTTTCAAGCAGCATTTCTCTCCCTTTAAAAAAAATGCTGTAGAATCTGGAAGTGGGGAAGAACACAAAAGCTGTGCAAATTCATAATCAGTTTCATTTTTCTATGTTCAAAGTGTAGCAGAGCTCTATATAGATGTATAAATTATATATAAATATATACAACCGGCTTATTTTCTTTCAATGTGCAATGATGGCTGGATCATTTAAAGTTCTTTTTAGAAAATATCATAAGCCAAAGACTCAAGTGTAAATATGTCTATATGGAAGAAGCACATTATATTTATTGGTTACTTACATTACATTTTTGATGGCTAAAATACTACCACCACACAATCACTTTTGTTTCAGAAGAAAGCTTTTTCTTTAGCTAAAATCAATGGTAAACAATTTTTGTAGATTATTTTTTGTATGTTTAGTGTAAGTAGAGGATAAACTTTTTATTCCTAAACCAGGAAGGAAAATGTTCTTTGTAGTGGTTCCCTTGTGTACATGCTTGTGAATTAAATTGATGTAAAACATCTTGGCAATTGTCTTTGAATAGAGGACCAAATTAAAATGTTTTGCTGAAAATGTAGTTTTTCCCAGTTTCATTAGGTAAATGATGGCTTGATGGTTGCATAGGAGAAATCCACACAGCAGAGGACCCTGTGGGTAGCTTGCCCAATGTTTAAAAACACCTTTAAGTGCTTTACACGTTAAAGGAGTTAGGCTTCTCAGCCTGTGGCCTAGCACTGTTCAGGAACCCAGGATGGCAACATGATGCTTTCGGGGACAAATTTTAGCAAACTGTGAACTGTTGGGGCAACACAGTGCTCTTTTGGATGTTTTTAAGCGCAAACTTTGGATTCCTACCATAAAAAGTGTCAGCGGATCGATGCCCGGTTCCTGTTGCCTGCTTTTATGAGATTCCCCAGTGAATTTTTCTAAGTGTGGTCTCGTTCTCAGGCTCCATGTAGCTGTAACTTCACATCATCGGCTTGCAGTTTCTTATTAATGGAAGCATTCCGGTGTCCTCTTTCTAGATTGCCAGTCCATGACGTGGTGCTTAGCAAGATTTAATTAAAGTAAGAGTGAAATAAAGTTTTTTATAATTATGACATTTATTGATTGCACATCATTTTCTCTTCTAAATTTTCATGGCTTGATTCCCAAACAAATAGGCTGTCTATGACTCAATATGAGCTTGCCACAAAAATTATTCTGAAAGCATGTTTCACATCCATCAAAGAGTTTGTCATAGTTTTGTTTCCTACACCGCATGTTACATAGTCCAGGTCAGTAAGAGGGGAAAGAGCTAGGGGTTTAAGTGTCTTTTTTACATCTTTTTCTTTGATTCTCTATATTTGTATTGTCATAGTTTGTATTAATTGTTTTCTGTCAACTATCTAAGAAAACATCAGTATGAAAGGCCTAACTATGTTTTTCTGAATATCCATATTCAAAAACTTAAACTTCCTATCCTTAAAAACTTCCCTTAGCAGACCTATGTGTGGTCTTGTCTTTGCCCAATCGTGTCCTTCTGGAAAGATGTCATGGCAAAGCTCTGGACTATAAGCATCTTTTATTTTGAATTTGAAATGTCTCCAGTGTGATTGTGTGTTATAAATTTGGTTGCCTACTGATGCTCTTTGAGGACATGCATGCATCCTGAGCACTATAGCCTTATTCACCCAGCATTCCAGTAATAGATTCATAATTTGATGATAACACTATTAAGAAATGGTAGAAACTAATAGTTGGAGATCTGGAAAGATGAATCACCCATTAAAATACCTGCCATATGAGCATGAAAACCCAAGTTTGGGTTCTTGGAGCTTACTGGCCAGCCATTCTGTCTGAATTGGTCAGTGCAGTATGGAGGAGCGGTGGGCTGTGTCCTGCCGCTTGGCTAGCTTATACCCTGAAATAGCAACACACAAATTGTATTCATTTAAACACTGCCTGGCCCATTATATCTAGCTTCTTCTTGGCTAATTCTTACATCTTGATTCAACCCATTTCTAATAATCTGTGTAGAACCACAAGGTCGTGACTTACTGGAAAAAATTCACCATGTCTGACCTGGCAGCCTTATGGCAGGCAACTCTCTACCTGCCTTTATCCTCCCAGCATCCAGTTCTGCCTACCTAAGTTTCTGCCCTATCAAAAGGTCAAGACAGTTCTTTATTCAACCATTGAAAGCAACACATAAAAAAAAAGACCTCCTACACCAGGTAAGCTCCCGGTACTCTGAAAATCTATCTCAAGAACAAAGGGCATTTGAATATGATCTATTATATTGACTCGCTACAGAAATGTGGAAAGGGAGGGAGAGACTCTGCGTGAGAGCAAACACTAAGAATTGGTTCCTCGTTGGAGGATGTGTATGGCAGAGAGCATGCCCCAGAAGGACATATCATTCCTGGCACCTCGCTCTCACTCTTCTCTGCTTGCTCTCTGGCTGCCAGGAGATGAGCAGCTTTGCCCTGTAGCATACTCCCTGCCCTGATGTTCTGCCCCACCTGCATGTAGAGCCAATAGCACTCAGCAACCATAAAGTAAAACCTTAGGAACTAACATTAATCTATTCTTTCTTTAAGTTGCTTCCATCAGTCATTTTGTCACACACACTCTTTTAGCAGGTAACCCTTTCATTTCCCTGCAGCTGTTTCTCCTGCAATATCAATCATAATGTTGACTCATCAGATCTTTTTCCTGTATATCTTTGCTGGGGAGGTGTTGGAAATCTATGATCCACAGACACAGAAACTATTGGGAAGGTATGGGTTTTAACCAAGTCCTTTGAAATGTGTTAGTATTCTAGTCTGAGCTACCTATGCAACCCTTTTCTACTGTTTCTAGTCTCTGAACAAAGGAAAGGACTTCAGAGAACAGTAAAACAGCCATGTGATCTTTGGTGTGGATGTGTAAACAAGGAGACCCCTTCCCTGGACATGGGGAGGATAAGTTTGCCTCTCAGTAATATTGTTCATCGAATATTTATGTTATTGAGACCCTGTCAGAATCTAGACCCAAGCTTTGAAATGTAGACATCGATAACTAATCCTTATCAAATATGCTCTACTTACCCAACAACCAGGGATGATAAAGTGCAAGAGAATGCACCTATAGCTCAAGTGGAAGGAAGACATGGTCTGGTTACTCAGAAGGACAACCTTTGGGGATTAACAATTCCCTGTTTGTGTTTAATATCAATGAGCTTCCACGGCATTCTTTCCTAACAAATATTCATAAATCCGTAGTCTGCCACATACCCAAGTGTAGTTATCAGTAATTACCCAGAAAATATTACCAGCAGCAGAAACTTAACAACCTTTCTAGATTCATGGTGTTTTAGTAAACACCGATTTCATAAAGACTCCGTGTTTGATTTATTTAGTATTCTGCTAAACCAAGTGAAAAGACAGCTTATAATTATTAATTGTCCCTTGCTCAACAATCTCTACTTACATATTATTTCATAAGCTCTCTCTATAGCTTAAGGAAGCTAGAGGAATGAGTGACGTCTGAGTATTTCCATGGCACTAGCCTAGTCAAACAGTCTGCTGTGTTTTAAAATATTATCTCTGAAATCAAAAGGAAAAGCTCTTTCTTGGGATCTACCATAAGCTTTGACTCACTTCTAGAATATAAACTGCCCAAAGATCAATAAGAATTTGATAGATATATAACATTTCAACACTTCCATCCAAAGTGATTTGAAATGCTATCCTGGAAGGGAGCAAACACCAGGGAGCCACTGTTGTTTCAAATCCTAAAAGTAAATAATGGATGCACTTCTAAACCACTGAAGGTCTCTATAGGATATCTCAAAGCTCTTTCTTTAATGTTAAAATCTGTTTAGGGAGGGAAGCAGGGACACGTTTTATGACAGCTAAGATCTCTCAGAGTACATTTGTCAGTTACACAAAATAATATACAATTCCCCCCAAAATAATACAAAACGATACTGATGACATACCAGATTAACAGCTTTGGTTTTATTAGTCTTGACTCTGCCCCGAGTATATAGAATTTAGACCAAAAAGCTTTGAAAAAAAAAAGAGTACTTAGAGATATGTATTTAGTATATCCAGATGTGGGAATAAGAAATTCAAATCCAGTCACATCTAACTTGTTTTCTTAAACAGAAATTAGACTACAATCAGGGAAGTGGCATGGGTTAAGTTTGCTTGTGGATTCATGGAGACACACTGTCCACCTGGGAAATTAGAGAAAGTATGAAGGCTGTGCCCTTCGTCTTGTTGAAAAGAGGGGTACACTCATGGTTAGACTCTCCGATGCTGCAGGGGAGAGCCTGGGGCCTTGTTTTGTTTTGTTTTGTTTTTTGTCTTTTTTAATGATCAACAGGGTCATATTGCAGTGGGTGTCTTTATGTTTTGTTTTCCTCCATAATTTTCATCTCTTAAAATATCCTAAATTTTCTACTCTGTCCTGAGAAGTGGGTGCTAGCTGCTCTGACCTTCCCAGTTCTGCTGCCAGAAGCACAGTTGTGTGACTGACAGTTATTGGCATGGCCACCTGACATGGAAGACAAAATAAACAGTGTTAGGAAGTCAGCAAGCCTCTCCTGGACTCAGAAATATGTCCACAACCAAAGGGTACAGCAGATGACACCCAGCATGTCCTGAATGGGAACACAGACCCATTCTGACTCATTCATGCTTCACTGTTCGAGACAATGAAAAAAAAAATTAAAATTTCTTGTTCTGAGAATTGTTAATGTTAACAAGTAATTTGGGTTTTGAGAGGCATAATAAAAAGATACTAGAGCCAACTACAGAACAGTCTCTTAAGCTGGCATCTGTTGCGTGAGAGCTCCAGGCTCTTGGTTAGTGACCCCCATTA